CAAATTACTCTGTCAACTCAATGCAAAAAATCGGCTGAGAGACAGCTGGTATCTCAAAAAACTCCTTAGTCAGGACACTCGTAAGTCAAGGCCCCACTGTAGAAGCAGTGAAGATAGAAGCAGGTTCAAACGATTATTTAAGAAAACGTTTACAACAGCTGACTATTTGATTAAATGGTGATGGTGAGTGAGTGGGGCTTCAGGATGATTCTCAGTTTTCTAGCTTGAGCAACTGGGTAATAGTCCCATTAACTGGGAAGGGAAAGCTGAAGGAGGAGCAGATTTGGCAGAAAGGATTAGAATTCAGTTGTGAACACATTGGATTTGAGGGATCTAAGACAACTGAATGGAGATATGATACAAGCAATTAAATACGTGGTTCTGAACATTTAAGAAGAGGCTAGGGATGAATATATAAATTTGGGAGTCATCAGGGAACAGTTTTTAAAGTGACGGGAGTGTATAAAATCACCTAGGAAGAGACTTGAGAGAGAAGGGACCAGGTTTAGAGATTAGCTAGAACTCAGAGGAATGGGGGGAGAGGGAAACTTATCCAGAAAGGCAGGAGAAAATCCAGCAATGTGGTGTGTCAAGAGTGGGATGTGTCCAGGAAGATCATCATCAAATGTAATGGAGAGAGAAGTAAAATGAGGACTGACAATTACTACCCATTGGACTGATTTGGGAACATGGGGCTATTGACAACAGTACCAAAAGCAGTTTCGGTAGATTGTGTGAAGTCAAACCGGAGTGAGTTGAGGATGAACAGAAGGTGAAAAAAAAAATGGGTGGAAAGAAAGCAATATCCCCCAGGTTAGAGGGATATTTGGAAAAAGATGTTAGGGGTCAAAGAGGAAGCCTTTCTACTGCCCCTCTTCCCCACTCCCCTCCCTTGGCCACCACTCACACCTGATTGTCTGTGCCTGTCCTAGTTCGTCCCATTCCGAGACTATGTCGACCGATCAGGGAACCATGTGCTGAGCATGGCCCGACTAGCCAAGGATGTGCTGGCGGAGATCCCGGAGCAGCTGCTGTCCTATATGCGCACCAGGGACATCCAGCCTCGCCCCCCACCGCCTCCCAACCCCAGTCCGACCCCAGCCCCAGAGCAGCCCTAAGGAGCCTATTTATCCAATGCCTGCCATCTGCCCACCTGCCCACCTGCCCACCCACCCACTGCTTCTGCTGAAAGCCAGAGGCACCTGGAGCCCTGGAACCCATTGGGAGGCCAGCTTGGAGGATCAGTGCTGGCTGGTCAAGTCCTCCACTCCCTCACCCACAGAAGGGCCTTGCACTGTCACCACCTCCCTGCCTTCATGCCAATAATAAAGCTGATAATAATAATTACTCTACCTCTGTCTCATGGGTCTTGGGGAGGGAGATTAGGGGACCCAGGGCCTTGGCACCGCACCAAAAGGAGGGAACAAAGATTGCTTCAGCTAGGGTTTATTCCCATCCGAATACACAATCATCCAATCATTTCTTCAGACATTCTTGAAACACTTTCAGAAGGGATAAGTAAAACTATGTATATGTTTTTGCTGACAGAGGAGACAGGCCATAGCGTTCATCAGACTATTTTTTTAAAAATATATTTCTTTATTGATTTTTAAAAAATATATATATTTTATTGATTTTTTACAGAGAGGAAGGGAGAGGGATAGAGTTAGAAACATCGATGAGAGAGAAACATCGATCAGCTGCCTCCTGCACACCTATTGGGGATGTGCCTGCAACCAAGGTACATGCCCTTGACCGGAATCGAACCTGGGACCTTTCAGTCCGCAGGCTGACGCTCTATCCACTAAGCCAAACCAGTTAGGGCCTTTATTAATTTTTTAAAATTTTGTTTTATTGCTTAAAATATTACAAAGAGTAGTACATATGTCTCTTCTTTTTTTCTTCCCCTTGACCTTCCCCCAGCCTCCCCTACCCCCCAGTGTCTTGTGTCCGTTGGTGATGCTTATATGCATGCATACAAGTCCTTTGGTTGATCTCTTACCCCCCTCCCCTACAACCCTCCCTGGCCTTCCTACTGTAGTTTGACAGTCTGTTTGATGCTGCTCTGCCTCTGTATCTATTTTTGTTCATCAGTTTATAATGGTCTTTATTATCCATAAATGAGTGAGATCATGTGGTATTTTTCTTTCATTGACTGGCTTATTTCACTTAGCATAATGTCTTTATTGATTTTTAAGAGAGGAAGGGAGAAGGAGAGAGAGATAGAAACATCAGTGATGAGAGTGGATCACTGATTGGCTGCCTTCTGCACGGCCCCTACTGGGGATGGAGCCCACAACTGAGGCATGTGCCCTTGGCCTGAATCAAACCTGGGACCCTTCAGTTCGCAGGCTGACGCTCTATCCATTGACCCAAACCGGCCAGGGCTCATCAGACTCTTTAAGGGGTTCCTGAATTCAAAAGAGATCAGAATTTTTTGTTTGTTTGTTTGTTTGTTTTGTTAATCCTCACCCACGGATATTTTTTCCATTGATTTTTAGAGAGAGTGGAAGGGAGGGGGAGAGACAGAGAAAAACATCCATGTGAAAGAGATACACTGACTGGTTGCCTCCCACACACACTCCAAACCAGGGCTAGGGGTTGAGCCTGCAACCTATGTACCTGCCCTTGATCAGACTCGAACCCAGGACCCTTCAGTACTCCGACCGTCGCTCTAATCACTGAGTGACTGACTAGGACAAAAGAGGTCAGCTTTAAAATGACTATATTGCCCTGACTGGTTTGGCTCAGTGGATAGAGCGTCGGCCTTCGGACTGAGGGGTCCTGGGTTCGATTCCGGCCAAGGGCATGTGCCTTGGCTGCGGGCACATCTCCAGTGGGGGTTGTGCAGGAGGCAGCTGATCGATGTTTCTTGCTCATCGGTGTTTCTAACGCTCTATCCCTCTCCCTTCCTCTCTGTAAAAAATCAATAAAATATATTAAAATGACTATATTAACTCTGTTTTCATCCATTTAGTCTGAGTTTTCTGAATGAGGATAATAAAAACAGCTAATATTTTGAGTATTCATTACATATCACACACTATACTAGGTGATTTATAAGCATCATCTATTTAATCCTCACAACAACCCTGTGAGGTAGGACTATATTTTCTCTCCATTTAACAAATGAGGAAACTGAGGTTCAGAGTGATTAAGTCACTTATTGAACTCTTCACTTTGACTCCAGATCCCAAGATCTTAACCAGCAAACATCTTCCTGGAGTGTCGATTTTATTAAGATGGTTTGGTGGTTTTTTTCGGAAAACACTGTATACAAAAACATACATTATAGTGAGTCGAATGCAAGGTTTGAAATAACATAAAATAGAAGTTTCCTGATCCTTTGGGCTTTGCCCCCAAACCCTGAAAGACTCTTTCACACTCCTCTTTGATGGCAAAACTGGAGGCTTAGTGATAAGCATGTTTAACAAATGGACTCTCCCTAGCACCAAAGTTCTCCAAAGCCCCCAAGAACTATCAATAAAGCTTTGGAGCTGCGTTTTACAAGAAATTTGAGGTAGGAAGAATTTAACAACTTGCCCTAGTTCATGTAGCTACTAAGTGGCCTAGCCACATTAAAACCAGCTGTCTGTGTTTTTAAAATTTATTGATGAGCCCTGGCCGGTTTGGCTCAGTGGCTAGAGTGTCCGCCTGCAGACTGAAGGGTCCTGGGTTCGATCCCGGTCAAGGGCACATGCCTGGGTTGGGGGCTCCATCCCGGGTGGGGGGCATGCAGGAGGCAGCCAATGATTCTCTTTCATCATTGATGTTTCTATCTCTCCCTTCCTCTCTAAAATAAATATAAAAAAATAAAATTTATTGATGAGAGAAACATTGACCTGTGGTCCCACACACCTATGCATTCATTGGTTAATTCCTGCACGTGCCCTGACCTGGACAGAGCCAGCAACCCAGGTGCATCTGAACGATGCTCCAACCGAGTTATCCTGGCAGAGCCCAGTTCTGAGATCATCTCCCACCTGGCAAACCGTAGCCCTGATACATTTCTCCGCCAACCTACAGGGTTCCAGGTATCCGAATCCCATTTTACCGTAGACAAGCCCTTTCACGCCCCAACAGCCCTCTGCGCCTCCCCAAATCCGGTCCCTTCTTTCGGATCCACACCTTGCCTCCAGTCTTGCTCCATTACCTTTCCCAAGCTCCTTCCCTTTCCTTCAGCCACGCCCCGTTATTCCTAACCCGATACCGCCTTTTCCGTCTAGTTCCGCCCCTTTACCTTTCCCAAGTCCCGCCCCTTCCTTGAAGCCTCGCTTCGTTTTCCCCAGGTCTATCCTTTCTTCCAATCCCAGCTCCACCTTCCACACCCATCCGAAGCCCCGCCCTTAGTTTCCTGAGGCCCCACTCCGATTTAGCCTCACTCTTTGCCCCGGTTCAGTCCCTATTCTCCCAGCCAGGAGGTATTTTACATGTGACCCCGCCCCTCTAAAGCCCGCCCCCTCCAAAGCCCCGCCCCACAGGCTGGTTTATTCTCCTCCAGCCCCGCCCCTACCATAAATCCGGGTCTTCCTTAGGCTCAAGCCCACGTCTCTCTTGCTCCTTGCCCTGCCCCCCCCAGCCCCGCCCCATGGCTCTGGCCCCGCCTCGCAGCCTTCCTGGGAGACCAAGGCCAGGACTTCACCGCAGCCGCGGCGCCAGCGTCGGGGAGGGACAAGGGAGGGAGGAGACTGAGGGGGAAGGGAGAAGGGCGGGCTCCTCCAGCCCAGCCCCGCGCTCAACGTTCGGGGCCGCAGATTCGCCACACATGGCCCCACCACTCCGGATCCTGAGTACCGCGACTAAACTCACCTCTAAGATGGAGGTGCTAGAGAAGCCCTGTGGGATGTTCAGGGAGCCCTTACGAGTTCCAGAGCATGGTCTCTGGAGCCTCGGTTGGCGGGCGGAGATTTGTGGCGAAAGTGCAGTTCGGCAGCGCCGCGGCACTACGTTTACCCTGCGCAGACGCCGTCGCCGCCGCTGCTGCCGCCGCCGCTGTCCCTGCCTTTGCCGCCACCGTCTCTGCTGCCGCCGTCCCCGCGCTGCCTCCGGGAGCCTCCATTGTTCCAGCGGCGCCGGGTCCCGAGACCGGGCAATTTAGGGGCTCTCGAAACAGGAGACAGCAGACAGAGTTGAGACACCGGGGCTCCGGCGGAACCGGGAGCGGCGGGGGTCAGCGCGGGAATCCCGGGGAGCCGGGGCCAGAGCGTGGGACGGCAAGGGGCCGGGGTGGCGAGGTCTGAAGTCTCCGGAATTGGGGCTCTCCCTCCCCGGCCCGTCTTTCCCCGCCAAGTGGGGTCGGAGCCCCGGCGGACGGCCCCGGCGATGAGCCCGGACTCGAGGTGGCCGGTGAGTGCGGGCCTGGGACCAGGGCGAGAGTGGCTAGCGGGGAAGGAGTTGAGTACTTTTGTGGGGCGCGCACTGAGCAGTCCTGCCCAGGTGCCCCTCGGGCCGCTCCAGCCCCCTCCAGGCGGGAGAACTGACAGTGCCTTCGCTTCCAGCGGGAATCCCGGGCAACAGTGTATCCTTCGTGGCTACCAGGGTCAACTTCAGGAGGGGAGCCTTGTTTAACTTGTTACACTTGACAAAAGAGAAACCTCGCCTCATCCGGGTAGGGCTGCGGGCGTGCACCGCCTGGGCTGGGCCTGATCCCTTCGGCTCCCGCCCCCAACTTCCTCTAGCCCCCTGAGTTACGCCGCCACCCCCCTGGGCCCACAGCCTTTCAGATCTAAGTTTTTGGCTCCCTCCCCTGTGCCTCTGCCACTTACTCCCAGCGGGACATCAGCCCGGGTCTCTGTGCTACTTCGGAAGCTGGGGAGCCAGGGCAGCAGAGCTGCAGTGTTCACCAGGGACCCATCACTGAAAGAGGAGAGCTTATTTGTGCTTCTAATTGGTCTGTATTTAAAGACACAGAAGCAGGTAGGAAGTAGAAGGGAGCTGGAGTTTAACTAATAGTTTTACTGACATGGAAGTTGGGTGCTTTGACAAAGAGAGGCTGAAGCAGCCCACTTGCTTGGTTAAGTTGCAGGAGAATAGAGGCCTAGAGGGGTCCTTGTTTGTCAGGGAGCTCAGGGTGGCACTACCTGGAATGGTGCCAAGCCCCTAGCTGAATTGTTAAACTCAACTAAGCCTGGAGAAACTGGGGCAGTCTCTGACTAAGCTGGGCTTCCTGGGGGCTGGTGCCATCTGCTGTCTCCATTCACCCAGGAACACTGGAGAGGAGAATGGGAGGGCCCTGAGGACCAGCATGGAGTTGACTGTGCCTGGATTGTCTTGTTCCTGTTTGTACCCTTAGGACTTGGTACAGCTGCCAGGGCCAGGACATAGACTTCCCCTAAAGACCTCAGAAATGAACTAATTCTTTCTATAATCCAGTGATTCTGCTGGATACCAGGACTAAATCATTGCTACCCATTCAAGCTACTACATGGGCTAACACTCGCCTTCATCCATCTTTCTCAACTCCAAATCTGCTGATCCCTCATTCCTCTATTCATTCAACAAGTTATTCATTCATTTGCCAAAAACTGAATGTCCACTGCATTCCAAGTACTGGGGATATAAAGGTGGGTAGGCTCTGGTGTCTGCAGTGCATAGCTCCCAGTCTAGTGGGAGGAGACAAAGAGGTGAAAATGGAATGCTATGAAAGCAGAGTTCCCCATAGGAGAGACAAAGACATAACAGAAGTGACATTTAATCTGGGCTTTGAAGAATGAGTAGGAGCTCACCAATCAGAAAGGATGGAAGGCATTCTAATAGAGATCGTCTTGCAGTAAGGAGAGGTTATAACTTTCAGGAAATGGCAAGTTGCCTTGGATAGACAGAAACACAGCTGCAACTGGTGAAAAGAAGAGTCTGGAAAGGAGGACTAGGGCCAAACAATGAAAGGAGCACTTGACTGTCAACATAGGGAATTTGGATATTATCCTGAAGTAAGTAGGGAATATCAGAAAGCTTTTAATCACAGATTGAAATGACTGTTGCTACTTGGTAAAAACATCACTCTGGCCACATTATGCAATATTAGGCTAGAAGAGTTGAGGCATAGGGCAGAATAATCAGGCAAGAGGTGATGAGGCCCATACTGTGGCCATGATGTGGAGAAGATGGTATTTGCATATGCTGTAGAGGTGGGCTGGCCAGGATCCTTGAAGAGAGGAAGGGCTAGAGGGAGTGGGGGGAGTGGTCATAAACTCTTCCCCAGGCCTATGCTAACTTATCTGTAAATTCTAGATGTGACAGCATGGGGGTGGACTTTGACGTGAAGACTTTCTGCCACAACTTGCGGGCAACTAAGCCACCATATGAGTGCCCCGTGGAGACTTGCCGCAAGGTCTACAAGAGTTACAGTGGTATTGAGTACCACTTGTACCATTATGACCACGACAACCCACCACCCCCGCAGCAGACTCCTCTCCGTAAGCACAAGAAGAAGGGGCGCCAGTCACGCCCAGCCAACAAGCAGTCACCCAGCCCCTCAGAGGTATCACAGTCACCCAGCCGTGAGGTGATGAGCTATGCACAGGCCCAGCGCATGGTGGAGGTAGACCTGCACGGCCGCGTCCATCGCATCAGCATCTTTGACAACCTAGATGTGGTGTCAGAGGATGATGAGGCCCCCGAGGAGGCCCCTGAGAATGGCAGCAACAAAGAGAACACTGAGACGCCGGCTGTGACTCCCAAGTCAGGCAAGCATAAGAACAAGGAGAAACGCAAGGATTCCAACCATCACCACCACCATAATGCTTCTGCCAGCACCACTCCCAAGTTGCCAGAGGTTGTATACCGGGAGCTGGAGCAAGACACCCCTGATGCCCCACCCCGGCCAACTTCCTATTACCGGTAAGGCCACCTCTGCCTCCTAACTCTGGAACACTGGTCAAACAGGGCTCAGGAGCCGGAGAGCAGTGACAGGCAGCAGACAGGAGAATAGCAGGGATAAAGGATAGCAGGAGCACACTCTTAGGGCAGTAAGAGGAACAGTACTCCAGCTAATGATGGTGGCACTTACTATAACTACTCCTTCATGTTATTCTCATAACCCACTTAGGTAGGTATTGTTCTCATTCCACAGATGAGGAAACTACAGAAGGGGCTAGACTTACCAAAAGTCAAAGGCCAGTAGGTAGCTGAACCAGTATTCAAACCCAGGTTCTTTTGACGCCAAAGCTGCACTATTTCCACTGTATCAGAGGATCCCTTCTCTGGTTTCTGAGCCTCTCCATTCCCTCACTGTGTGACTTTGGGAAAGGCATCTGGCTCTGGTATTCTAGTGACCCCATCTGTAGAGCTGGTTTAATATTCCTCCGCTGGCTTAAAGGTAAAAGACTGGGACACTGATTTCATAAGGTCCTAAAAGCAATTTGTAAATCTGCAGGGGTAATTTTCCCATTGTTCTGTTATTTAGCATGCCCATCCTTTAGCATGCCTAAGCGGTGTTTCCATCAACTATATTTTGTAATCCTCCAATGGCCTTTTTATTTATCTCTTGGTACCCCACTTCCTTCCAAAAGTTTGTCACAGTGGCTCTCTTTTGTTTTTTTTACAGTGGCTCTTAAAGTCACAGGCATAGGCTAAATTCCTTGTAAAAATGAAGGGGTGGGGCAATGTGGTCATAAAATTATATACAGAAAGCCTAGCTGAAGGACGGTACAAAAACCAAGTGTAAAAGTTACCTCTGAGAGTAGGCATCCAAGGCAAAGAAGGCATTCTGATGAGTTAGTTAAGGAGCAATCTTTGGTGTCAACTAATCAGAAGGCCTGATCTCTGAGAAGGATTTATAAAGGTTTTTATATGAAAAGTTTTTACCAAAAGTGCCATTCATATGATGATATACTAATGTCATAAAAGGCAAATCTCATAAAAGCAAATCTGTGGGAACCCAAGTAATTTGGCTCAGTGTGTCACTTTTTTCTCTCGCCTGTTCTTGTGTTAGCCAGTCTCCTTCCTTTCTATCCAGCCCAGCTTCACCTCCTTCTGACTTTCCACTATCTCTTTTCTGTTAGACTGTCATGTCCATCCCCAACACAGAGGCCCCTCAGGGCCTGTCCTCCCTCCTAATGGCTCCCTCCTAATGGCGCTCTTTGCTCTGATAGGCAGCTTAGCCCAGCTCATTCTGCTCCTTTTCTTCCTCCTTCCACTCTTACCTCCTGGGGATCAGGTCTGTTCTCCAGGGCAGATTCACTTTTTCCTCCTGGGGATCAGGTCTGTTCTCTATCAGTTGGAGGTATGTTGCATGTAATTTATTACTACTGTTAGCAAAACGGCCCTAGTTTGGGAAATTATTTGCTTTCCATGTAAATTTGGGAAGAATTGAGATAATCTAATAACACCACTTTCTCTTGCTTGCATCTGAGTGCTTTCTTGAGGGGGAGTAGGAGGGTGGAGTGTCAGCTGGTGAGCCAGGAATTCTACATGACATGCAACCTACCTTATCTGTGCTGTAGCCTGTAATCTGGGTGCACTGTGGAAGTGTGTTATGCACCATCAGGTAATGTCTTGGCAGAGGAAAGTTTTGGAGCTGTTTTCAAGGTCTGGAAGGGGCCATGTGGTTCACACTATCTCTGAGCCACACCCTTTTTCAAGGATGAGAGAATTGTAGTCACCTTTGGAAAGAGGTAAGGGCTAAGGAATAAGTTGCTTCCTATAGACATAGCATTTAAGTCTCTCTCTTCCCTTCCACCCCCAAAATACCTTTCAAATGAACAACACTGGGAACCTGTTTCTGTGTGGTAAATCAAACATGGTTCTTGCCTCTATCCTATGGAGAAGTTCAACACATAAACAGCTATAATCGAAGCAAGGTGGTTGGTCAGGGTTATACAAAAGCTAATGATAAACCTAACATTTATTGAGTACTTACTGCATGCCAGGTACTGTTCCTAAGTACTTTACTTGTATTAACTTACTTAATGCTTACTATAGCTATATGAAATAAGTCCGTATTAACATCACCACTTTAAGATGAAGAAACCTAGGCCCAGGGAGGCTAGCTCACTTGCCTGCTATCATATAAAGATGGCTCCAGCCCGGCGGGCATGGCTCTGTGGTTGTGTTGACCTATGAACCAGGAGGTCACAGTTTGATTCCTGGTCAGGGCACATGCCCAGATTGATCCCCAGTGGGGGTTATGCAAGAGGCAGCTGATCAATGCTGCTTCTCTCATTGATGTTTCTCTCTCTCCTCCCCTCCTTCTCTCTTCCTCCCTGAAATCAATAAAAATATATTTTTAAAAATAAAATAACATGGCTCCAGAGCCTGTTTGCCTGGCCTGCTCTAGCACCAGAGCCCCATTTCCCTTGTGGAGAGAAGAGGTGCAGCTTGCTGTGTGCCACTTGATTTAGCCCATTTAATTTTGTAATTCCATTTAATCCTGACAGCATCTTTGGGAGTAATTATTATTATCTTAATTCTATCATCAATAAAACAGGTTCAGAAAAGAGCAGTGATGCCCTGAAGGTCACAAAGTAGCAGAGCCAGATTTTTATTTTTATTTTTTTCAGAGCCAGGTTTTAAATTAAGGTTTGTTAGAAGCCAACGCCCCATTCATCCTATTGTAGCTCCTGATAGCTTTACAGTACTAGAGTCCAGGTGATCCAGAGCATGGTAAGGGTGTGGGGAGCCCAATGAGTGCCCCAGGGTGGAGTCTGAATCCTAGCTTTGCCACTTCCTGGTTGTGTGACCTTTCTGTGTTGGGCAATTAATTAACTTCTCAAAGCTGGAATTTCCTCATCTGCAAAATAAGGGCAATAAGAACATTGACCCTATGGCTGTGGTGAAAATAAATGTGGTAATTTAGCACAATACCTGGCTCATAGTATATCTTAACTATTCTGATTGTTATCTCCCAATGCTATCCAGAGAACAAAGACAGTACCTATAGTTTGAGGGAGCCCTGAGCTGGTGCTGGTAACAGCTGACAAGACCCACAGCAGCTCCATTCAGGACACTGCCAGCTGGTGCTAAAACAACTTACATATAATTTGCAAGTGACACCTGAGGAACTTCCTTCCACTGACTCTTTGTATTATCATCCAGATGGGTCCTAGCTGCGCCATTTTTCTTCCCTTTAGGAATCTGGTTGAGCCTCTGCACCCCAAGGGAGGCTGTGTAGGACATGAGGTTTGGAGTTGGCAGGCCTAATGCCACTTCCCAGCTTTACCACTTTCTCACAAGAGAGCTAGGGCAGGTGCAGTAACCTCAAAACTATGCTTCCTTTTCTGCAAAACAGGAATGATTACAGGACCTATAGTGCTTGGGGTTAAGGTAAGGATGGTATGAGACAACATATGTGAAGGTACAGGCCTGGCCTAGAGTAAATATTTGGCAAATGTAACACACTGTCTTTAAGGGAGGAAAAACTCAACTATATGATGCTGAGCTGCCTGTGTGCACTGCAGGTACATTGAGAAGTCAGCAGAGGAGCTGGATGAGGAGGTAGAGTATGACATGGATGAAGAGGACTACATCTGGCTGGATATCATGAACGAACGACGGAAGACGGAGGGTGTGAGTCCTATCCCGCAGGAGATCTTTGAGTACTTAATGGACCGGCTGGAGAAGGAGTCCTACTTTGAGAGCCACAATAAAGGCGACCCCAATGCACTAGTGGATGAGGATGCTGTGTGCTGTATCTGCAATGATGGTGAATGCCAGAACAGCAATGTCATCCTCTTTTGTGACATGTGCAACCTGGCTGTGCACCAGGAGTGCTATGGCGTCCCCTATATCCCTGAGGGCCAGTGGCTGTGCCGCCGCTGTCTACAATCACCCTCACGTGCTGTGGACTGTGCCCTGTGCCCCAATAAGGGTGGTGCCTTTAAGCAGACAGATGATGGGCGCTGGGCCCATGTGGTGTGTGCCCTGTGGATCCCTGAGGTCTGCTTTGCCAACACAGTCTTCCTGGAGCCAATCGACAGCATCGAGCACATCCCGCCAGCTCGCTGGAAGCTCACCTGCTACATTTGCAAACAGCGGGGCTCAGGGGCCTGCATTCAGTGCCACAAAGCCAACTGCTACACAGCCTTCCACGTGACATGTGCCCAGCAGGCCGGCCTTTACATGAAGATGGAGCCTGTGCGGGAGACAGGTGCCAATGGCACCTCCTTTAGCGTCCGCAAAACAGCCTACTGTGACATCCATACACCCCCAGGTTCAGCTCGCCGGCTGCCTGCCCTGTCCCACAGTGAGGGTGAAGAGGAGGAGGATGAGGAGGAGGATGAGGGTAAGAGTTGGAGTTCAGAGAAGGTTAAGAAGGCCAAGGCCAAGTCCCGGATCAAGATGAAAAAGGCACGAAAGATCTTGGCAGAGAAGCGGGCAGCAGCACCTGTGGTTTCAGTGCCCTGCATTCCACCACACAGGTATGTGGGGAGCAGTGGACAGGTTGGGAAGAGTGAAGTGACAGGGTTGGGTTATCTTCTTCCTATCAGAAGCTATGTAGAAGTTTAAAAAAAAATCCCAATGAGATTAGCTATAGCAAGTCACCTGACTCTTACATTAGGAGCCAGAAACTTCCCAGTTTTATCTGGCAGACCTAACATATATTTTCAACTGCCCTTCACTTTGATGGTGCGGTTTAAGTTAGGAAGAAAGAGAATGTAATAGCTACCAGCCACAGAAGAAGAAATAGTCTGACTCTGAAAGGAGAACTGGAATGAAAAGGGGGGAAGGAAATGCTTAAGGAGTCACAAAGTAATTACTGCCACTGTGAATCCAAATGAGGGCTGTGATCAGTTATTTTTAACTCTTACTTTACCTAGTCAATTTCCTATGCTGTACCTTGTAACGCTCAATGTGAGTTGGGTATCCCAGGGTCAAATAGAGCAATCTTAGGAGCCAAACTCCCTGACCCCCTGGTATTAGTATTAGTGCTGGGAGCTTGGCTTTCTGTCTGCTGAGGTGCCATTGATGGCACTGTTTGCTCTTTGCCTTAAGCCCGATGTCACAAACTTTTTGACGATAGACTAGCTAGACACCCTTGTTTTACGTAAGAAAATTTGTTATCCTGCTTCCTAGGCTCAGTAAAATTACCAACCGCCTAACAATCCAAAGGAAGAGCCAGTTCATGCAGAGGCTGCACAGCTACTGGACACTGAAGCGGCAGTCACGGAATGGGGTCCCGCTGTTACGTCGCCTGCAGACACATTTGCAGTCTCAGAGGAACTGTGACCAAGTTGGGGTACTGTGTCATATTCCCTGTGGGCTCTGGGAACTAATACCAGGGGATAAGGATCAAGATTTGTAACTATATGTCCTAACCAGTTTGGATCAGTGGATAGAGCATCGGCCTGCGGACTGAAGGGTCCCAGGTTTGATTCCAATCAAGGGCACATGCCTAGGTTGCGAGCTTGAGTCCCAGTAGGGGGCGTGCAGGAGGCAGCCAATTAGTGATTCTCTTTCATCATTGATGTTTCTATCTATCCCACTTCCTTTCTCTCTGAAATCAATAATATATATATATATATATATATATATATATATATATATATGTGTGTGTATGTGTGTATATATATGTGTGTGTATATATATGTGTGTATATATATGTGTATATATATATATATACACACACACACACATATACATATATATATAAAAAGATTTGTAACTATAGCATCCAGTGTCTGAGAGCTTAGACTGTTCCCTTTTTTAAGGTAGCCTTCAAACCAGGCTCAGGAAGAAATTTTTTTCTTGAGATGAGGGATGGAAGGGAATGGCAGGGGCATGCTTCCTGGGGAGAACCAGGAAGAAATTCTTACAAATTATCCACTTGTAGAAGGTACTGTTCCTATGTGTTTATTCATTTACTCAACAAGTGTATACCAAGCATTGGCACAGGAGACACCTAGGTTGAGGAGCTCCCACTTGAGCTGGCACACCTGCCAGTAAGTTTCTGTGCCCCCTCCTTTGGCTTTACCTGCCCTTAGCCCCAGTTTTCTGGGCTATCCTCTCCTCTGCCCTTTCCTCTGACTCCCTCATCATCTTCTGACTCCTTTTTGCTTCTACAGAGAGATTCTGAGGATAAGAACTGGGCCCTCAAAGAACAGCTCAAGTCCTGGCAGCGGCTCCGGCATGACCTAGAGAGAGCTCGGCTGCTGGTAGAGCTGATTCGCAAGCGGGAGAAACTCAAAAGGGAGACGGTGAGTGCTCCTGGGCCAGCTCTGTTTTCCAGAGGAGAAAACATATGTGGGAGAAGGAAAAGCATGTGTTGTCTAGCCAGCAAGTAATAGGGTTGATGCTCAGTGTGCTCTTGGGCTCACCAGAAACAGAATGTCAGAGGAGAGAATGAATGGAACTCTTAATTATGTGATACAAGTAGCTAGTGCTGTAAGTTAAATCAAGGAAGGGAAAGGCCAGAGTAGTTGGGGAGTTTCACTGGGTGGGGCGTTGTAGAACATAGACCTGAGTGAGTACATCCAGCTGTTGAGGGTGGGAAGGAAGGCGAATTCCCAAACCAGCTTTGACCATCTCCTCAGACCTCTACCAAGGGACTGGCCTGGGCCTGGCTGATTGGGCCTTTATGTGTGTCAGATCAAGGTCCAGCAGATTGCCATGGAGATGCAGCTGACCCCTTTTCTCATCCTCCTTCGCAAAACCTTGGAGCAGCTCCAAGAGAAGGACACAGGCAACATCTTCAGCGAGCCGGTCCCTCTGTCTGAGGTAACCGAATTGGACGAAGTAAGAATCCCTTCCCCTCACTCCACCTTCTTTCTGTTCCTCTCTCAGTTGGACCCCTGCTGCAGGTCTGGGCCAGGGACTAGGAGGGGACCTTGAAGAGAGGGGCTTGGTGGCTCTGGGGCTCCAGGATGAACTGGAGCCACATGCATCACATGGACTCTGTCTTGTCCCTTTCATACTACAAGTGCCCAGAATGGGAGGCAATCTGCACTCCCCAGAGGCAGGGACTGAGTCTGCCAAATGAATAACCACAGGGCAGGAAGACACTTTCTGGGTGCTGACCCCTAGAACAGAGACTTTAGAAGGCTCAGCACCTAAAGAACCAGCTCTGAAGCCCTAGGTTCTGATTGGCAGACTATTCTTTCTAAAAGGTATAAAATGAGAGGCCTAAGGCAGCAGCCTCCTTATAAGTCTTAATGATAAGCAAAAAAGAGCTATAGGAATGCAAGCTCGTATTACTTCCAGAGGACTCCCCTAGCTATTTTCTTGTTGAAGCCTCATACGGCTGTAGGAGGTGGATTTGGCAGTAATTTTATCACTTTTCCAGGCCAGGAAAAGACGGTCCAGAGAGGTTAAGAGACTTGCCAAGATCACACAGCTTGTGACTGGTAAAGTCAAGACTGAATCCAGCTCTCTTTTCCCCTGAGCTATACGCCTACCTCTAACTGGTGGGAGGAGGTTACTGGATGCATTTCAAGGGGTAGTATTAGGGGCAGGGGTTCAGGGGGAATGAGAAGCATATCTCCACTTAGCTACACCTACCCTGTTCTCCCAGGTACCTGACTACCTAGACCACATCAAAAAGCCCATGGATTTTTTCACCATGAAGCAGAACTTGGAGGCTTATCGCTACCTGAACTTTGATGATTTTGAGGAGGACTTCAACCTCATCGTCAGCAACTGCCTCAAGTATAACGCCAAGGACACCATCTTCTACCGGGCAGCGGTGCGGCTCCGTGAGCAGGGTGGTGCTGTGCTCCGCCAGGCCCGGCGCCAGGCAGAAAAAATGGGCATTGACTTTGAGACGGGCATGCATATCCCCCACAACCTGGCTGGAGACGAGGCCCCACACCACACTGAAGATGGTGGGTGATGAGTCACACACACATAAGAGGCCAATGCTAGGGATGAACAGCTTTCCAAAAGTCCCCTCCTGGGAGCAGGCAGTGTAGGTGGGAAGCACTTAGGCTGAGCAGTGACAAGCTATCCCCAGGAAGCCAGGCTGGTGAATGGATAGCAATGCCTGTCAGTTCACATCTTGGTTCTGCTATTTTATGGCTGTTCCTGGCCAGCAGCTGAGGGGAGAAGGGTTTCTTTTTCTTTTCTTTTTAAAATATATTTCTTTATTGATTTCAGAGAGGAAGGGAGAATGAGAGAGAGATAGAAACATCAATGATGAGAAACACTGATCGGCTGCCTCCTGCACGCACCCCACCGGGGATCGAGCCCGCAACCCAGGCATGTGCCCTTGGCTGGAGTCGAACCTGGGACCAGTCAGTCCGCAGGCTACTATCCACTGAGTCAAGCCTAGGGCTCTTTTCTTTTTATTAATATATTTTTATTGCTTTCAGAGAGAAAGGGAGAGGTAGAGAGAGAGAGAAACATCAATGATGAGAGAATCATTGATCGGCTGCCTCCTGCACGCCTCACACTGGGGACTGAGCCCGCAACCAGGCATGTGCCCTAACCAGGAATGGAACCGTGACCTCCTGATTCAACCATCTAGTGACACCGACCGGGCAAGAGTGGGTTTCTTACTGCTTGTCCAGATTTAAGGGGGCCAAAAAGCTGCTCTGAATCTGACCTTTTCCCCCTATCCCCACTCCTAGCAGCAGAGGAGGAGCGGCTGGTCCTGTTGGAGAACCAGAAGCACCTGCCAGTGGAAGAGCAGCTGAAGTTGTTGCTGGAACGGTTGGATGAAGTGAATTCCAGCAAGCAGAGTGTGGGCCGCTCACGGCGCGCAAAGATGATCAAGAAAGAGATGACAGCGCTTCGGCGGAAGCTTGCCCACCAGCGGGAAACTGGAAGGGATGGGCCTGAGCGCCATGGCCCTTCCAGCCGGGGCAGCCTGACACCTCACCCAGCAGCCTGTGACAAGGATGGGCAGACAGACAGTGCCGCTGAGGAGAGCAGCAGCCAGGAGACAAGCAAAGGTCTGAACCCCATAACAAGGTGGACCCCAAAGCAAATTAGACTTTGACTCTGCAGCACACACTCAGCCCCTGCCATCCCCAAGGCAGAGGTCTTTCCTGCACAGCTAGCTGTACTTTCTCCCTCATTCCCCAATCAGGGGCCTCTTAGCTGTATCTCTGGCTATTTGTATAAGAGACACTGTTCCCAATTCCATGACCCTCAAATCATTTCCCCAACAATAGCTGGAGTATTGGACTTATACACCCAGGGCATACCCTGGATGACATCTGCCCTTCCCACATCAGGCCCCTCACCAACTTTCCTTCTCTCTTTCTCTGCTCCAGGCCTGGGTCCCAACATGTCCTCAACCCCCGCACATGAGGTGGGCAGGAGAACCTCAGTTCTGTTCTCCAAAAAGAACCCGAAGACAGCTGGACCGCCCAAGAGGCCGGGCCGGCCCCCCAAAAACCGGGAGAGCCAGATGACCCCCAGCCACGGAGGCAGTCCTGTGGGGCCCCCTCAGCTTCCCATCATGGGCTCCCTGCGTCAGCGCAAGCGGGGTAGGAGCCCCCGGCCCAGTTCCAGCTCAGACAGCGACAGTGATAAATCCACAGAAGACCCCCCAATGGGTGAGCCTCACCACCCAGTACCCCAAGAGAGTGAGCAAAGCTACCATCTTTCCCAACATAACTTCCACCTATCCCTTCATTTTCCCATAATATCTCAGAGCTAGAAGGGCCCTTAGGAATCATTTAATTCAATCCCCTCATTTTACAGACTGGGAAACTGAAACCCAAAGACACTGATCCAGCTAGATTCCCATCCAAGCCCCCCTCCATTGTATCACTTCACCTTTTCTCTTCTCATCCTCCTTGGTGATCTCCTGCCCTTTAAGCCATTTGTGTCCTAAGGTCTATAACTGCTGAGGGAAGTGTAAGGGGTGGGGCAGGGCTGTGGCCAGCTGTGGTGGACACCACCCAGAGCTAGCTCTGCTGGCCAAGGTTGGAGGAATATTCCAGCACAGAAAGGGAAGCCAAGGCTCTTAAGTACCTCTTACCCCCATGTCATCTCTGATCTACATCTTCCTGACCGATTCCTTCCCTCCTCCCCTTCCCCCCCAACCAAGACTTACCAGCCAATGGCTTCAGCAGTGGAAACCAGCCAGTCAAGAAGAGTTTCTTGGTATATCGTAATGACTGCAGCCTTCCCCGGAGCAGCTCAGACTCTGAGTCCAGCAGCAGTAGCAGCAGCAGTGCTGCCTCAGATCGGACCAGGTACCAGCCCTCCAGATCAAGGCCTGCCTCTGGGATGCCCTTCTGGGTTTCCCTGTGGGAAGTGGGGTGGCAGCCATCTCAGCCTAGATTAAGATGGCTCAAATCCAAGGTTCTCTGCAAAATAAATGAAATAGATGAGCGTATCACCATAATGGAATGGAGGGAACCATACAGGGTTCAGCTGATGTTTTAGAGCAGAGGGCATAAACTCTTGCTTTGTGGCCTGGATTTGGCCTACAGACATATTTTCTTTGGCCAGCATGGTGTGTTTTTAAAAATGAATTCAGAAGTACCACATAAAATTCCCAGTTTCTGTGTTCTTTTTAAAAACTAGGTCTGGCAAATCTGGCCAGTATTGCTTTTAGACAGGGTATACATTCATCATCACCACTGCTAAACCCAGCCCACATCAGTCAAATCACTGCCAAGCCACTGAGAGCATTTGGATTTGAAAATCTTTAAGTAGTTTCTGCTTTCCAAAAATCTTAGACACTGGGGGTTTAAAGAAGAAAGGACACCCACCATGCCATTCTCCACTCTTCTTTGAGCTGAGCTCCCTTTGTTTTGTCTACAGCACAACACCCTCAAAACAAGGCAGGGGCAAGCCCTCCTTCTCTCGGGGCACATTCCCAGAGGACAGCAGTGAAGATACCTCAGGCACTGAGAATGAGGCCTACTCCGTGGGTACTGGCCGCGGCGTGGGCCACAGCAGTAAGTACCCTCGCCCAAGGCCAGGGATGCTGGGGCCCCAGTGTCCGGGCCTTACCAGCCCCCTGTCTGCTGATCTGCCCCCTCTCTCCCATTCCTGTGAAGTGGTAAGGAAGAGTCTGGGCCGGGGAGCTGGCTGGCTGTCAGAGGATGAGGACTCCCCGCTGGATGCTCTGGACCTTGTGTGGGCCAAGTGCCGAGGGTATCCATCGTACCCAGCTCTGGTAGGCTTCTCCTCTTTTTTGTCATAACCCTTGCCTGTCAACCCCAGAATGCAGACTTACAATTAGTAGACTTTTTCTACTCTCTGCTGAGCTGCAGAGTACAAGGGTCTTTGGCAGGTAGAGAATTAGAGGTCCCTGATTAGTTTCTCCAGCTTTCCCTTTTCCTTCCCATGACCCCTTGGGCTCTGAAGTAATTCAGCATAGGAAGAACGTCAGCATTGCAGTAGCATGATAATCTTTCCATGTCTCTACTTCAAAGGAGTCTCCAAATTCTTAGGTAGAGTTACCCTTGGGGAAGAGGGGACTGAACCAAACCAAGGTCTTACTATTCCTTCAGATCATTGATCCAAAGATGCCCCGGGAAGGTATGTTCCACCATGGGGTTCCCATTCCTGTGCCCCCACTAGAGGTGCTGAAACTTGGGGAGCAGATGACCCAGGAAGCCCGAGAGCATCTCTACCTCGTCCTCTTCTTTGACAACAAGCGAACCTGGTAAGGGAGGAGGGGAGCATGTGGTGACTCACAGCCACAAATACAACCCTGGAAATGGGGGCAGACTGTGAGGAAATTCCAGCAACAGACAGGCTGGGCTGTCACCAATCAGTGGGGGAGGGACTTAGGCCTTTAAGAAAAAGTCTGAGCAACTGATTGGGCACAGCTGACAAACAGCTGTGACTAGAAAACAAAGAACCATCAGTGACTGTGACAAATGGGAGTGGCTCCCCACCCAGATCGAGGTGATTTCTATACTTAGTTTTCCCACCTCTGCCTCCATGGTGACAAGATTAGGATAAAGCAGGCATAAAGTCAGACTCTGAATCCCTCTTCTGTCTCGTTTACATAATGTAATCTTTTTGTTAACTATACGCAGAGGATGTTTAATACCAGTAAAGTCTGCCTGGAGCCTGTGGGACAGGATACTATTTCAGGTTAGGTCAGGGCTCCTTTTTGCACCCATAAATTCCTTGTGGTTACGGCTCAGTGTGACAGTTGACTGGGCTCTTTTATCACTGTGAACAGTTATTTGAGGGCAGGGAACCCCAGTGCCCACCAGAGCCTCGTTCTCAGGAGGTGTTTTTAAATGAGTGAAGAAGGCTGGTGCTTATTGCTCTCCCAGAGATGACTTAATTGATCCTCACTTCGTCTTGTAGGCAATGGCTGCCTAGGACTAAGCTGGTTCCTCTGGGTGTGAACCAGGACCTCGACAAGGAGAAGATGCTAGAGGGCCGCAAGTCTAACATCCGCAAATCAGTGCAGATTGCCTACCATAGGGCTCTGCAACACCGCAGCAAGGTCCAGGGCGAGCAGAGCAGCGAGACCAGTGATAGTGACTGATACTGCCCAGCACAGCCCAATCTACGGTGCCCTGCCACCTCTCTCCCCTTTGCTCACTGTCCTGGAGTGGCACCGGCCTCTGCACTGACTCATTCCTGGTCTTGGGGCCAGTCTCAGGGGAAGCTGGGTGGGGGAGGTCCCTCCTGCCCTGAGTGCAGCTGGACTGTACAGAACACTCCGAGGGCCCATGGTAGCTCTGTGCAAAGAGAGGGGAGGTCCCACAGGCCAGAAAGCTCCAGAGACCTCACAGCATTGCAGTGCAGGGTGGTGGGCCAAGGTTAGGACACTGCATAAAACAGGCCATCCCATCACCTCTGCCTGCTCATGCCAGGAGAATCCATAACTGCCTAGTGGCCTGAGGCCTGTGCAGGTGATATGGTGAATGGGCATCCGCCCTGCCTAACAGTGGGATTGATGTCTGTCCAGCCTGGAAGAGGGGCACTAGGTGACCCCCTCCCCTGCTTTTGTAAATACTGTAATTAGTGGAGAATTTAAATTATTCTCATTTGTAACTGCGTTTCCGGTCGCGCCAGAGTCATTTGGTACTAAAAAGACTGGGGCCTGTCCCCTCTCCCCTCCTTCCCATAGATTCCCCACCTTTCAAACTGGTTTGTATTTATTTCAAAAGAAGAAAATATATTGATTCTTAGAAAATAAATTGTTTGGAATTCTTGGTTCTTGCCTTCTGCCAGGGCAAAGGGAGTTTCTGTTCCCCAGGGATGGCAAATAATTGGGCCCAAGTGTTGCTGGCTGCTCTGCATATTGCATTTGTAAGATAACGGCAAAGATAATATGACAGCTCCCATTTCCCATGCACTTACTGAGTGTCAGTACCCATGCTAGCTCCTTTAGATACAGTTTCATGTAATCCTTTCATTAACTATAGGAACGGTTAATAATAGGATGGTTATTTCTACAAAGACATAGATTTTGAAAAATTAAGTAACTTGCCTAAGTTCTCACTAGGAAGTTGCCAGAAAGCTCCAGAGACCTCACAGCAGTGTAGTGCAGGGAGGGTGGGCCAAGGTTAGCACCCTGCATAAACAGGCCAGGAGAAGCCATACTGCCTAGTGGCCTGAGGCCTGTGCAGGTGGTAAGGTGAACGGGCATCCGCCTCCCAGTGGGAATGACGCTGTCCCACTAGCATCTGAACTCAGGTCTGTTGTCTGCAATTTAACCAGTAGGTGCAACTGCTAGAGGAAGAGTCAGCTGCGCCTTCTTTCATGAAGGTCGGATGTTTAAAGTTCTTCAACGGTAGGATTGTCCAAGTGTTTCAGAGCCACTAGAGCTGTGACTTTCCCCTTCTTAACTGGGAACAGAGCGGCACTATAGACTGTTGCTGTTCTTCATTCATTCCCAACCCTGGCTCCTTTTCTGATTCAGACATTTTTTGAAGGAATGTCTTCCAAGTGCTAGGCACCTGTGGGCTGGTGTGCCAATGGATGAAACAGTCACAGGAAGCAGCTGCGGAGGGTTTTGGAGCTACTGAGTGGATGTGCGACAACAGCATGTCTGATGATACCAAGTTGCTGGTGCTCCCTGCGAGGTAATGGGGGTGGGGCACAAAGAAACCAGCGGTAAATCTCGCCCTTCAGGAATCTGCAGTCTAATCATCGATCACCAAAAATCACTATGCTAGGAGGAGAAAAAAAGTCGCCGGTTAAAAGCACAGGTCTAGCTTTTTGTGACTTTCTCCAGAAGGGAAGAAATTACATCTTTCCTGGGCTCAGCCAGCCAGCCGGCCCCGGCAACCGGGCTAGGCAGACAGGCTGCCCCGCGGCCACACGCTGACGCTTGAACTTTGAGTCGCCTTTCCCAGCCCCTGAGAAGCCCGACACAAGCCGCATTGGATGCGGCAGTGTGAGATGGGGGAGGACGGAAGGAAAGTCCTCCCGAGGAGAGAGCAGCGGAGGCAGGGACAGGAGGCCGATCTAGAGTCAGGCCTCAGAGTGGTCTGTGAGGAGGCCTAAGACCGGCGGGCGCGGAGACATTTCCTCAGGAGACAGGCGCTGTGGAGACTCCCCACAGGGCTCGGTGGGCTGGCGCTGTGTTCGGGTCCGGGTCCGGGTCCGATTCTCAGTGAAGAGGAGCTCATCGGAGGAGGACCTCAGTAAGCGAAAAGCAGACTAGAGAGGCGCGGTGGGAAAGGCTCTCTGAAGATGGCGGGGGATAGGATTTGGTTGTGCGGGCCGGCAAGCCTGACGACAGGCAGGGAGGACCGGGGGCTGAGGGCCCCGGCCGGTGGGGACACGCTGGCCCGCCTAATGCGGAGGAAAGGGCCAGCGGCGAGCCCAGCGCGCGCTAACCGCTGAGAGGCCTCGGGAAGGCCCGCCCAGCGCCGCCACGCCCGTTCTCATTGGCGCCTCGTATTTCCCCGCGGATTGGCTACCTCTAAAACGGACTTGCGCCCTACTTCCGGTGAGGCTTCTCAGGAAAGGCCGGAAGGGTGCGCTTGCGCTTGCGCTTGCGTCCCAGAACCACTGCCGCTTCCGGGTACAATGGTGAGCGCGCTGGGGCGTGGCGGGCGGAAGGTTTAGGGCAGAAGGTGGGACAGAGTGGAGGGGGCGGGACTTTGGCGGGTGGTAAGGGGCGGGGCCTTCGAGGAGTGGTAGAAGGAAACTGGGCGGACCTTATACAAACATTGAGAGGCGAGGATTTCGTGGAGTTGGATGAGGCCTTCGGTGAGGGAGGCCTTTGGTTCTTGGTCTCTTAGTGGGCGTGGTCTGCTGGTAGCAAGTAGGTCTGGGTCTGAGTGGGCGGAGCCATTATGGGGCGGAGCCTGATACAGAAATATTAGCCTGCTCACTTTTGCTTGGTTAGCATGGGGCATCGCACTCTGTCCTCCGTCCCGGCCCTCTGGGCCTCCATCCCATGTCCACGCTCCGAGCTGCGCCTGGACTTGGTTCTAGCTTCTGGACAATCCTTCCGGTGAGTGACCTTAGCCTGAAGTGCAAAGTTGGGTGTGTTGGAAGAAACCTCAGTGTATCAATGTATGAAACAGGAAATTGAGGCAGGGGTGGAGAGCCTGTTACCTTTTTTTTTTAATAGCCGGTGATTGTTGTAAGGGTGGGAAAATAGTTGGATATAATAAGCCTGTGCAGTGTTGCGAGGATCAAATGATATAATTGATGTAAAATAAAGCACTTTTACTTTACAAATGATAAATCAGTTTTATGTATAGAAAGGTTGTAGGATGGGAGGGTCCCAAAGGTTGCAAGAAGGGAAACTGAGTGCTAGGGCCCTGTGCCTGGGGTCTCAGGTGGAAGGAGCAAAACCCTGCGCACTGGAGTGGCGTGCTGGCAGACCAGGTATGGACACTGACCCAGACCGAGGAGCAGCTCTACTGCACTGTGTACCGAGGGGAAAGGGGCCAGGCTGGCAGGCCCACACCAGGAGAGCTAAAGGTCCTGCGCCAGTACTTCCAGCTGGATGTCAGCCTGGCTCAATTGTATTGCCATTGGAGTTCCAAGGACCCCCACTTCCAAAAAGTAGCTCAGAAATTCCAAGGTGAGTATAGAGCCTGGGACAAGGGCTTGGGTTGGGGTCATTGTAATTTGGTTAGGTTACTCAGTTTCACCATCTGTAAAGTGGGGATTATATCTACCTCATAGGATTTTATGAGGATTAAATGAGCTAATACATGTAAAGTGTTTAGAATAGTGCCTGACACATAGTAGTTATTATTACTGTTATGATTATCCTGCTGACCACCATCATGGAGTGACAAGGATATTGAGCCAAATTCTGGCTGTGTGACCTAGGGCAGGGGACATCATTCATTCTGTAAATATTACAGAGCATCTGCTATGTGACTGGGGATATAGCAGTGAACAAAGTGGACACAAATCCCACCCTCATAGTGCTTACATTGTGGCTTGTCTGTGGAATGGGATGATGACCCAGACCTCTCAAGATGCTATGAGGAATGATGTTGCTTTCTCTAACAACTTTGTCCCTCATTCCCCTGGGAGCCTACATGCCTAGGATCTGAGGGTGAGAGGAGGCCACTCCTGACAACAGGTGCTTCTCTTACCCCCTGCCTTTCCTATCTTCAGGTGTTCGACTCCTACAACAGGATCCCATCGAGTGCCTTTTCTCCTTCATCTGTTCCTCCAACAACAACATTGCTCGCATCACTGGCATGGTGGAGCGGCTCTGCCAAGCCTTCGGACCTCGGCTCATCCAGCTCGATGATGTCACCTACTATGGCTTCCCCAGCCTGCAGGCCCTGGCTGGTGAGTCGGTGGGTGCCTGCCCCAATGCTCACTAACAGCTTTCAGAGTCTGTTCAGTTCTCCCCTGGTCCCCATCTCCCATCTCAAAGCTTCTTGCCTTCCCAAAGACTGTCCTCATCCAGAATCACCCTGCCTGGTCCGATCAGCCCCAGACATACCTCACCCTCCCTATTTGTCTCTGAAATGTCAGCACCTCACTACTCTGTTTTTTGCCCCATGGTTTCAATGCCTCATCAGAAAAACATCCATATGCAGTGTGTAATAGGTTGGGATTAAATACATATGCTTTTTTATTTTATTTTTTTAAGAGAAAGTTTATTTAGAAAGTCACAGAGGTAGAAGTGAGCTGTAAAAGAAATGGGATCAGGAAACAAGTTACAGAGGCACAAGAAGGACCCTCGGAGCTTAGGAGAAAGAGAGAGGCAAGGAAAATGCACATTGGCAGAAGTGGGTGAGGAAAGGCACTGGCGTGCTCCATAGAGAGAAACCTCTGCACACATGTTCTGGAAAGAGACTGCCTTAGTCTGAATCCCAACTCTGGCACTTATTTAGCCTCTCCTCTGTTTCTTCATCTGTGGAATGTGATAATAACTTATCAGAGTTGTCACAAGAGTTGAGTTAAAGAATACACATACTGCACGTAGTACATTGTTTGGCTTATGGGAAATACGCAGAAAATTCAAGTTGCTATCTGTATAGTGATCCAACAATTTTGTATCCAGGAACACACATTCTTTACAGCAGTCCTGTGAGGCAAGTTTTATAGAGATAAGTATCTCTATTGGCAAAGTGAGGACCAAGTTAGGGGAAGTGCTTGGGGAATGTATAGTAAGGAGACAGCCTGCCTGAAAAAAAAAAAAAGAATGTTTTTGGTGCTTAGAAACCCAGTCTTGTACCTTAGCTTCCAGCTTAGTATTCATAAGAACTCAAGAAATTCATTCACCTCTTCAGGCTTCTCTTAACTTGTTTGTAGGATGGGGGTAACAGTTCCTATCTAGAAGGGTGAGAGGGAATAAAGCAATCATGAAGCGGGTTTAGAGCACATGAGTTCGTGTTTCAGATCCAGGTGCAGATCCCATCTCCACCATGTCCTTTCTTCAAGTTACTTAACCTTTTCTAAGTCATCATTTTGAAATAGGAAAAACATCTGTGAAATAGGAAAAACAGCCCAGCCAGTGTTGCTCAGTGGTTGGATGTTGACCTATGAATCAGGAGGTCAGGGTTTGATTCCTGGTCAGGGCACATGCTCAGTTTGTGGGCTCGATCCCCAGTAGGGGTCATGCAGGAGGCAGCCGATCAATGATTCTCTCTTATCATTGATGTTTCTATCTCTCTCTCTCTCCCTCTCCCTTCCCCTCTGAAATCAATAAAAAAATATATATTTTAAATAGGAAAAAATACAGTACTATTATCAGGGTCCTTGAGAAAAATGAGTCTGATAATGTATCCAAAGCACTTCGTCCATATTTGGTAACCAGCACTTGATCATAGAAGCTCTTGCTATTATTATGACTATTATTTTAGATCATGGGTGTGAACAGCCCTTTGGAAAGGTTAAGAAATTCAGTTGGGGAGTTTGTCCAGGGCAGCAAGCCCTTCTGAGTCCCTGCTCCAGTGTCCAACACATAATAGGTATTCAGAAAACATTTGTACAGGGGTGGAACCCAGACCTAACCCTGTCCTTTGCACATACAAGTATCCCAGGGTCTTCCAGAGGGTGGTGAGGTGGGAGAGGGGTGCTTAGGAAAGCATTCCTGTGGGGTGGAGGGCTCACACTAGCCTGAGGACATAAAAGGATTTGAGGATGCCTGACCCTGCTCCTTTCCCCACCCTCCTACAGGGCCAGAGGTGGAGGCTAAGCTCAGGAAGCTGGGCCTTGGGTACCGTGCCCGCTATGTGAATGCCAGTGCCCGAGCCATCCTTGAAGAACAGGGGGGGTTGCCCTGGCTGCAGCAGCTGCGCAAGGCCTCCTACGAAGAGGCCCACAAGGCCCTCTGCACCCTGCCTGGAGTGGGCACCAAGGTGAGGCCTCAAAGCAGGTCGGAGCTACCCTCAGACCACTCATATAGAGAGTAACAGAGCAGGAGACAAGGCAGGCCTGAGAGCTGGGTGCAGGCTCAGCTTCTGGAGGCAGAGCAGGAAGGAGAAATGATACAAGCAGATACTTTATTAGAGAAAATGCAAAAAGGGTATGAAGGACATTACCCTCTGAATGCATTTGTAGAAAGGTCATTTGTTCAGGTGCACATATACACTGCTATATATATACACAGAAATTTCCTGAAGGAATCACAGGGAACTTAATAGTGGTTACCTTTGGGAAGACACATAGGAAGGTATTTCTACTTTTATTCTTCTTGTGAATTATATGTACTTATAAAATTTTTTCTTTAATTTCAACAAGAGGATTGTGAATCCGACATTTATTGTGTTCTTCTGTAAACTTCTCTGCAGTTTTGTTTAAAGAACTTTTTTTTTAATGGATCTGAACTTCACTCTAACATTAAGTCCTTGTTTTGCTTCTTCCTAGCCATGTAACTTGAGCCAAGTCATTTTACCTTTCAGAACCTCAGTTATCTGCAAAATGAATATAGTACCAGCTTCTTTTCAGGTTATGAGAACTTGGCCTACGTTGATATTCATGCAGTAGCACTCTCATCACATCTGTATTTAAAATTATTAATAGTTGGTATATAATGATTGAGAATATAGAATAATAATAACCTCAGAGTGGAGGAGGAAGTGTAGCTGGCTTTGGGGCTAGAAGCAGGATGCTGCCTGAATCCTGCCATTCCTCCTCTTTTTCCGTCAAAGGTGGCCGACTGCATCTGCTTGATGGCCCTAGACAAGCCCCAGGCCGTGCCCGTGGATGTCCACGTGTGGCAGATTGCCCAACGTGACTACAGTTGGCACCCCACAACAACCCAAGGCAAGGGTCCAAGCCCCCAGGCCAACAAGGAACTAGGTAAGGAGAGAGGGAGATGCCAGGGCTGGTAGTAGGCTGAGGTGGTAGAAACTTTTCACCTCTCTCCCTAATACCCCACCACTGTGGATGGGGAGTGGAAGGGGCCAATTTGTTTTTCCTCATTATCTCTGATTTAGGAAACTTTTTCCGGAGCTTGTGGGGACCTTATGCTGGCTGGGCCCAAGCAGTGAGTATACCTAGGCTTCCTTTCCTCCAGCCTAGACCCCATAGGACTTCTCCCCAAGCCCTGACCCGGGGACTCTTCTAGTGCCTCTGCCCTAGGTGACCCTAAAGGATTCTCTACCCTCCATCCCCAGCCCTGACTCTAGTGGATTTGTGTTGCCCTGGACCTGCTCCCCAGTAATTCCCTTTCTCCCCACACTACCACCAGCCCTAAACCCAGTGTACCCTGTCCCACATAGACTCTCCCCCCTGCCCCCAGGTGCTGTTCAGTGCTGACCTACGCCAGCCCCACCAAGAGCCACCAGCAAAGCGTAGAAAGAGATCCACAGGGCCCGAAGTCTAGGTGGGGGGCACAGGACAAAGGGATTCTCCCAATACCTTTTCCCTCCATTCCCCATACTCTCCTCCATCCAGACTCATGTGGGGAAGGGGGCTCCATGCAACTACCTCAGGGGCCAGACACCCTCAAACCAAGCAGTTTGCATAACAGTGTGGGGTGGGGGCGTTATCTGGGGACACAAAGCTACCTTTGGTTTTATCCTCTTCCCTTTATTACAAGAAGGAACAATAAAATAGAAACATTTGTATGGAAAATGCAGTGGGGAGTGGTAGGAAAAGGGGTGGGGTTGGGTGGAACAGGGTAACCCGAGTTGAAGGAGAGAAGGGGAGCAGTCTGCCCCCAATCTCTCACACACAGGGGATCCTGACCCTGGATCCAGGGACCTAGAGCTGGGGGGACAGCCTGGGGGACATTTCCGGGCCCGGCTCCACACAGCAGTCTCGACAGCAGCAGCCAGCCACTGGCCCTACATGGGGAGAGAACAGACTTGGCTGTAGAAGCAGACCCTCCACTCCAGCCTGGGTGCCTCTTCATGGACCACCCGTACCCTTCCACAGAGTCCTGGTCCTCACCCCCAGCTGCTGGTGTCAGCAGCTCCCCGTGGCTTGCCGTCGGTCCCTGCCCCTCCTGGCTGGTGCCCAGCTGTAGCTTCCTCATGTGCCGCACCACAGCCGTGGCATTGAAGGCTTGCTGTGGGAAGAGGGGGGAGAAGGGACTTTTGAGAGAGTGGGAGATCATGGGGCAGGGTCTGGTGGTGGGATTCTTGCAGTGGTTCTGTTATTTTCAGGTGTTATTGATTGATCCCCTAAAACCACCTGAAATATCTGCAAGCCTTTATTAAATTATATTCAGCCATATTATGTATTTACACACACATATACACACATATATAAAAAGTATATAAACAGATATGTAACTTTTATATATAATTCATTCACATAATAACAAACACAATATAGCATATTTCAGGCATCGTTCTAAACACTTTACATAGTAATTCATTTAATATTCATGGAAATCTTTGAGGTGAGCACTATTAGTGTCATCATTGTCAAAGGAGGAAACTGAGGCACAGAGAGGTTAAGTAACTTTCCCAGGTGTGTATATATCATTACTTAACATATCCCCTGAGATGTCTCCATAAAACCCTCAAATTCACCATGTCCAAAACCAAAGTAATCCCCTAAAACAAGTATCAGGCCAGCCCTTGACATCTCTCACATCAATATCCATTCTACCATCACTTCTTGTCAATCCCACCTCCTAATTGACTCCTGGACCAACCACTGTTCTCTGTTCCTGTTGCCTCTGCTCTGGTCCAGCCCTCACTGTCTCCAGCCTGCCTCTCTGCCACATCTTCCTAAGGGGTCTCCAAGCCTTCTCTCTGTGCCTCTCTCTGCATCCTGAGAGCCCTTTCAGGGCAAATTCCTGCTGAAAATCCTTCTAGGGCTCCTCAGCATCATTAGGATCAAGTCAGTGTTCCTCTGTGGCATTTGAGACCCTAAGCAGCCTGGGCCTGCATCTCCAGCCTGGGCCCCATATCCCAGAAGCCCTCACTGCCCCCAAAGCCCTTCCAGTACAGCCACGCTTAGCACTGGCACTTCCTTGAATGTCTGCACTTTCGCTTGTTCTTGGTTCCCTCTGCCTTAGACATTATTCTACTCAGCTGGTTCTATGCCTAGCCAATTCCTACTCAGCTGTAGGTCTATAAGGCCATCACCACCTTTTTATGCCCTTCCAGGACCCTGTAGGTTGGATTAGATGTCTCCTTAAGAATTATATACTGTTCTCCCTCTAGACTTGGAGGTCAGGGACCCTCCCCGGAATAGAGTAGGTGTTGGGGAACATTGAATGAATGAAAGGTTCTTTGGTAAGCATCCTTGAGCAGTTACTGTGTACCCGACTTGGTGCTAGGTGTTGTGCAAGCTTAAGGCATGGTTGCGGGTGGGGAGGAATCCTGGGGAGGCTGGGACACAGGACTAGGAATGTGGGCTCACCTTCCACTTGCTCTTGGCAAAGTTCTTCTTGATCTGCTCACTCACTGACTGGTGAATATTCTTATCTAGAGCCGTATCGCCTGCAATCCTAGGGTAAGGGTATGTGGAGGATTATCTGTGAAGGCAGAGGCAGGCCTGGGGGCCCCAGGCCCTACCCCAGTTCACAGCTCATGGAAGCTCTCACCATGGGTGCTGCAAGGCCTGCTCACAGGTGAACCTCTTCTCTGGATCCTTCTCCATCAAGTGCCTGATGAAATCTTTGGCTGAACCCCCAAGACAAAAATAAAGACAGAAAGAGCATGGTAGTGCCTGGGGACACCACCAAAACAGAGCCCACCCCCTCAGGTCTGGCCTGGTATCCAAGCAAGATGAGCTGCCAGATTTGTTCATGCACCGTCTCACCCCACCTGTTCTCCTTCTCTAAGCCAGGGGTCCTCAAACTTTTTAAACAGGGAGCCAGTTCACTGTCCCTCAGACCGTTGGAGGGCCAGACTATAGTTTAAAAAAAAACTATGAACAAATTCCTATGCACACTGCACATATCTTATTTTGAAGTAAAAAAACAAAACGGGAACAAATACAATATTTGTATTTGCATGTGGCTCGCGGGCCGTAGTTTGAGGACCCCTGCTCTAAGCCCTCCACACACCCCAGGATTCCAGCTCTCATCCTTTTTCCCTTAAGAAAAACTTGTTCTTAGAAGATTCTACTCAGTGTATTCACACTGATGTGTAAATGATTGATAATGGTTTCACAGGTTTGCCTCCTACTAGGAGGCACAAAAGGACAGATGAAAACATTTATGTGGTGTTTTAGGCATTAGGATGTCAGTGGGGGAGAGGGACGGGGAATATTTTCAAAAATACTATGTTTGAAGACTGAATGAATGAATGCCTATAGGTTTCTCAGATCACGGCCAGGCAGAGGGAAGAGCCTGGGGAGATTGTCTCAAAGACAGCTCTTAGTCTGGGGCCCATCTGACTTAAGGAAGGCAGTGAGGAGACCCCAAAGCAGATGAGGAAGGCACCAGAGGCAGGGCCCAGGAGAAGAAGGCAAAGCCCCAAATACCAGAGTCAGAGATGTCGTCCCAGTAAGGAGAGTCAAACTCGTACTCGGCCTTCAAAATCTGTTCAAAGAGTTTGGCATCATTCTCGTCATAGAAGGGGGGGTAACCGCAGAGCCTGGGCAGGGAGAAACTCATCCTCATTTTCCATTTTCAGTGTACCCACTGGCTCCTGGATGGAGCTTCGGGGCAGTCCCAGGGGTTAGGCAAGACCCACAGGAAGGAGTTCCCCCTTTTACAAAGGGGGCTGAGGGAATCTACCTCTCTCTGACTTGTTCACCCCTGTCCAGTTCTACTTTCTATTCCTTAACATGCCACCATCTTTCCTTCCTCAGGGCCTTTACACTTGATATTCGTGTGTGGCTCACTCACTTCATTCAGGATGCCACTCAAATGTCACCTTAGAGAGGCCTTCCCTGACCTTTTCATCTAAAATGGCATCCATTGCCCTCTCCCTACCCTGCTTCATTTTTCTTCATAGCACTTTTACCACCTGACATTTTATGGATTTATCAACTTGTTGTTTACTTGTTTATTTACTTGTCTCTCTGCCCCACTAGAGTGTGTGCCCCCTGAGGGCAGGCACTTTGCCTGTTTTGTTCTCTGCTAAACACCCAGTGCTTGGTGCAATGTCTGAAACATAGTATCTATTGAATGAAGTAATATTAGTCATTAATTGGTAGACAAAAATGTGGAGGGCAGGAAGGAAGAAATTGCAGAGAGGAAGAGAGCAGTAGGGGAGAAGAGAACTCTGGAGCCATACACCCCAATGGCCAAGACCCCACTCACAGGATATAGGCAATGACTCCAATGGACCAGCAATCCACTGCCTTGCTGTAGGGTTTCTGGGCCAGGACCTCAGGGGCTATGGAGGGAAGAGGACATGGTGACAAATCTCTGCCCTGCAGCTCCTGGTTCCTCCCCTGCCCATGGTCCCAGCCCAGGGCCCTCCGCACCCACGTATCCCGGAGTCCCGCAGGCCGTGGAGAGCACACTGCCAGGGTCCTCCATCTTGGAGAGGCCAAAGTCAGAGATCATAATCTTGGAGTCTTCATCCAGGTTGTAGTACAGCAGATTCTCTGGCTTAGAGGACAGGAGGGAGGGGAAGGGGCAGTCAGAATTGGCCAAGTACCCCCTGCGAAACAATGGACCCCCAAAAGCCTCTATGGCTACCCTCACACCTCACCTTGAGGTCCCGGTGTACAATGCCCAGGTCATGCAGGTATTTGACAGCATCCAGCACTTGGAATATAAGACGGCTGGCGTCCCGCTCTGTGTAAAAGCCTTTTTCCACAATGCGGTCAAACAGCTCCCCTCCTGACACCCTGCAGCAGGGAACAGGGCAGTCTGGCCAAGAAAGCAGGAGAAGCAGGGAGGCTAGGAAGGGGGCAGCAGAGAGAGGTGTGATGAAGGGTTAGAGTCGAGGCCACTCACAGCTGCATGATGAGATAGAGGTGGCCCCCACTCTCATAGATGTCATCCAGGGCAACAATGTTGGGGTGCTTGATCCTGAATAGAGAAATGAGGTGGGTCAGAGCTGAGGACAGCTCAGCCACCTTCCCACCTTCACCTTGAAGTACCACCGCCTGAAATCTGGGTAGGATAAACCAAGGATCTGGATCCCAAAGGGAAAAGCTGATTTACCACAATGGGTTATAATGTATTAGAATGCAGGAGAGCATAGTGATAAACACTAGACTCTGGCATTGGACAGACTTGGGTCCAAACCTGCCTCTACTACATGCTATTTGGGGACAAGTCTTTTCACCTGACAGTGCTGATCAACACATGATTTTTAAAATTTTTCTGTGTTGGTAAATCTGTCAGTTTACACGATACCAGGGGCTTTATCTTGCTCACCATTGTACCTCCTGCACCTGGTGCAGATTAAGTGCTCAGGAACATTCACTGAATTGAGTGTAACCTCTCTGAGCTTCAGTTTCTTATCTATATACTAGATGCATGAAATTCGTGCAAGAGTAGACCTTTGCAGTCCTGGCTGCCTCAGCCCTCACAGCCCCGGCTTCGTCTGGAAGGTCATCTGGGTGGTTGTTCCGCTGTTCGGTCGATCTGTATATTACACTTATTATCTATATATATAGAAGCCTAAGCAACCCTTATGACCGAACGACTGGTCGCTATGATGCACACTGACCACCAGGGGGAAGACGCTCAATGCAGGAGCTGCCCCCTGGTGGTTCATGCACTCCCACAGCCAACCTCCCTTGGCCGGCTAACCTCCCATGGTCCCTCCCCCTTGGCTGGCCAACTTCCTGCGGCCCCTCCCCCTGGTCAGGCCCCAGGCTGGGACCGAGGAACTGGGGGTGAGTGGCGGCAGACAGCCAACCTCCCATGGTCCCTCCCCCTGTGCCTCTTCACAGCCAGCAGACCCTGGTGGTGGTGTGGCGGTGAGGGAAGGAGGGGGGGGGGGAGGCGGGGAACTGTGTGGTGGCAGGGCACCAGCGGTGGTGTCGGTGTCCAGCATCCATTCCTTCCGCACCTGGCCTGGCAACTGTTGCCTCCTCCCCCAACCCCGTCCAGCCCCTGATCCTAGGGACCCCACCTGTGCACAAATTTCATGCACCAGGCCTCTAGTTATAGATATAAAAGCCTAAGCGACCATTACAACTGAATGACTGGTCATTATAATGTGCACTGACCACCAGAGGGCAGATGCTCAATGCAGGAACTGCCCCCTGGTGGTCAGTGCGTTCCCACAGCCAACCTCCCGCAGTCCCTCCCCCTGGCCAGCTGGCCCTGATCGGGACTGGATGAGAAGGCCCTGTTTGGCCCAGATCGCTGGCCAGGCCAAGGGACCCCACCTGTGCACAAATTCATGCACCAGGCCTCTAGTCTATAATATGAAGCCAATGATAGTACTTCCTTCAAAGACTTAGGGTGAGGATCACATGAGATAATGCAGGTAATGTAAATAAGATGCTTGGCATAGTGCCTGGAACATAGTGAATGCTTTAAAAAATATACCAGTGATGGTGATTGAGCTTGATGGAAGACTTGTTGTGTGACCTTGGACAAGTCCTTTGCCTTCTCTGGGCCTGTTCCCTTACCCCATCACCAACAGTAGAAATGATCATTTTGTCCCTGCACAGGGTGGTTGGAAAGCTCAGGGAAGAAATTGGAAGTGAAGATTCTTTTAAGTCTTTTAGTGAGGCAGCAAGTTTCATATCAGCATGAGCAATTCATAGACCAGGTGTTGTTGATTTAGTCAGAAGGTCAGCACACAGGCATATTTGACCTTGTTGAATAATGGCTTTTTATGTTGGAGAACTTGGGGTAGGTCTAGCGATAACACCAGTTGAGATACGTGGGTTCAAGCCCTGCATAGAGTTGACCTTTAGATCTGATTGAACAGATTAAACCTCTGTAAATAAGCAAGGACATCTCAATCTCATCTGTCATGTTAGCTATTGTGCCAGGCACTTGAAATAAAGGACCACTTATGCTGTCCACAACCTTGACAAGTGGAGATCATTACCCCATTTTGTAAATGAGTAATTTCAGGCTCAAAGAGGTTTAATGCTTTGCCCAAAGCAGGGGTCAGATGGAGATGGAAAGGGTCAATCTGGGCAGGGACAGGCTATGGCTCACGCACTTGTGCAGCACAGCAATCTCATTTTCCATGCTGCCCTCCTTGCCCTCCAGAGCCTTCTTGGCGATGCATTTGATGGCCACCAGCTTCTGAGTCCTTCTGTCTTCTGCCAGGATTACTTCTGAGAAGGCCCCACTGCAGGGAAAGGTATTCATGAGACAGGAACCTGGAACCCCAGTTTCCCTCCAGTCTTTCCTCCATTTTCTATGGGTTTTGTGACCACCTCTGGACCAAGGAAGTGGGATGAGACTCCCCCATCACTCATCTGTCCTCTAGTGCCAATCGGAGTAGTCTGAGCCCTGGCCACGGTAATTGGGTCATGTGATGCAAGCCAGGTTATTGGCACTTTGAGAATGTGGTACTCTTTCCTGCTAAGCTGGTAGAATATAAGTCTGGGAATAATGGTAGTCATCTTCTCAACCTGCTTGAGAATGAAGCCAGCACAAAGGAAATCAGAGCTGAGAAATAGTCCAAGACAGTTTCCTGATAACACAGTGTGAGCCCTGGATCCAGCCATGCCTGGGCTTGTTTATTATGTGCATGATTGATTCCTTTTTCTGCTAAAGCCAATGTGAGTCATGGCTAATTTAACAGCCTTTAGAACCTTAAAATACCATCTGCATTACCTGGAAACTGTTTATAAATGCAGAATCTGCTCCCACCCCAGACCTACTAAATCAGAATCTGCATTTTAATATGATGCTTAGTGATTTGTATGTTCACTGAAGTTTGAGAAGCAATACTTTACAACAGGCTCCTAGAAAGAAACAAACTCAGTTGCACTGGAGTTCACTGATTAAGGAGGGTTTACTAGAGTATTTTTTCTACAACGTTTTGAATAATAGGTCATAAGTCAAATAAAAGCATCTCCCATGGTGAAATCTCAATCATCAGGTAGCTAGTGACTGTGATAGTCTCATTGCTGGTTTCCAGCCCTGCTCCTCTCCAACTAACTCTCCATACTGTGGTCAGAGTGACCATCTTGAATTGCAAACCTGTCAAAAAGTCTTAAATGTCTTCCTGTGGCCTGTGGGATAAAGTCCAGCCTCCATAGTTTGGCTTTCAAAGCCATGTATGACCTGTTCCCTTCTCTTCTCCAGCCTTTTCCACTCTTCCCCAGTCTCTGATGATAAGCTCCACCTGACTCTACTCCTTTCCACACAAAACATGCCTCTGAGCCTTTGCTTATGCTATTCCTTCTGCTTGGAATGTCTTTCTCTTTCTCGGACGAGTACACTCCTACCCATCTTTCAATACCCAGCTCTAATGCCCTCTTCTCCAGAAAGTATTTCCCCAGGCAGAAGCCACTGCTCTCTCTGGGCTCTACAGAGTCCTCATTCTCTTCTTTAATTGGAGCCCAGCATGCACCCTGTTGGCATTTTCCATGTGTCTGTCTCCCTCACATGTTTGAGAACAACTTGAGGGCAGACACTAGGTTTGAGTTATTTCTGGACTCCCGGCACGGAGAACAGAGCCATGCCCAGCTGTAGTTGCCAGACATAGGCCAGAACTCCCAGCCCTTGGCAGCAAGTTGAATAAACTGGCTCCTTCATTCTCCCCTACTTCCTTCTCTCCATGGGAACCCAGAGCTATGGGAAGAGAATCTCCTGTTCTATCCACTGCTGGCCAGAAATGAAAAGCCAGTATCAGCCATGGCAAGGCTGCTATAGGGCTGGGCTGTAGGAAACAGGAAGTAGTGATCAACTGACCAGAGGAAGCACCACCCTGGACTCAGCCTTCCCAGCTAACCAGGCCAAAAGTGAAGACCTTCCCAACCCCACCCCTCAGCTCAGGGACAGCCCCCATTCTCTCCTGCCCTGAGACTCACGTTCCCAGAACATCACGGAAGTCGTAAATGTCCCTAATGTTCTCCGCCTGCTTCCAGTTGGGGCCTTCCACTGCCCCCGGCATGGCCCACTGTCCCCCGGCCACAGCCAGGGCTCCTAGAAAGGGGAATGGATGGAAAAGATTCAATAAGGCCCAGACTTCTATGTACTGGGAACCCCATTCTGTCATTCAGGCTGCATCTATTCATTCTTTGATTCATTTATATGACAAAATCATTTAACAAACATTCATTCATTCACCAGTCATTTATTCATTTAGAAAACCCTTATGCCTAGAGGAAAATCCTTCATGGTGGTAGCAAAATTCTTTATTCAACAAAGTCATTCACTCATTCATTCATTTATTCAGCTCACCTCCCAGTTCCTCCCTCTCCAAATCCAAACACCCCACGAGACCCCGTCCTCCCAAAGGACAGCAGAGGCCTCAGAACAGCTTGTAGAGGCACAAAACCCGGGAGGAACCCCCTATCCCCAGAACCAGAATGTCCCAGCCCCACCCTTGGAATTGCTGGGGTGTCTCCTCTCCCTCCTCCTTCTTCCCACTCAGCCTCTCGGAAATCAGGCTTCCGACAGCCAGGGCTTTCAACAATATCTCAGCCACAGTTTTAAATAGCTCCTTCTGCATAGTTACCATGGCAACAGCAGCCACAGCTGGAACTTGCCAGGATTCCTATTTCCCCCTTCCCACCTGACTCCCTATCTGGGTCTTAGCAGCTCGAGAAATGGTCTCACCCAGCCTGTCCCCTCCTCACTTCACCTGACCATGATCCAGCCTATACCTTATTCTGCTGAGATCCTGTCTGCAGGAGAGGATGGGAGTTATTTCTCCATTTATCAGATGGCGAATGTGGAGACAGAGGTCCAGTCTCCCAAATGAACCCCTGCTGGGGCCCAACTAAGTTTGCTGAGGGCAAAGGCCTTAGAGGGGTCCTTCTTGGATTGGAAGGCCTGACCTCAGCTGGTCCTTCCAATATGCAGCCAGACTGGGCCCATTCAGCGAACATAACCTCTCAATCCTATCCCAGGCCCACAAAGGAAGAAGATGAAACAGTCTAGCATGCTGGTCCTCAGGGAAGGCACTTTCCTTCTCTCTGCAGGAGAATGTGGGGGAGGTGCCCTGACTACAGTCTCTGGTGTGAGATCCCACTCCTCTGATAGGACCTCCTTCCCAGGGGGGCCTGGCCAGCCACATCTTCAGAAAATGAGACTTGATGGTAAGCTCTAAAGCAGTGGTTCTCAACCTTCCTAATGCTGCGACCCTTTAATACAGTTCCTCATGTTGTGGTACCCCCAACCATAAAATTATTTTTGTTGCTACTTCCTAACTGTAATTTTGCTACTGTTATGAATCGTCATGTAAATATCTGATATGCAGGATGTTTTTTCATTGTTACAAATTGAACATAGTGATTAATCACAAAAACAATATGTAATTATATGTGTTTTCCGATAGTCTTAGGCGACCCCTGTGAAAGGGTTGTTCGACCCCCAAAGGGGTCGCGACCCACAGGTTGAGAGCCGCTGCTCTAGAGGCAGAGTTTTATTATTTATTTATTTATTTGTTTGTTTATTTATTTATTAGAGGCAAAGTTTTAAAACCCACCTGGAGGCTAGCACATACAACCCTCACCGTTTCAAACATGTCCTTGTACCCAGATATACCACACCAAGCCCCACCCACATCTCTAAACCCAAACACCTGCCCACAGATCCAGCACACTCCATACCCAGATACCCTGACACCTGATAATATATGCACACCCAGACATCAGCACATATATCCAAACACATGATCCCCCAGACATCCTCACGCCTAAACATCCCTCCCACAGGTCCCTCTCACACCTTGACACACATCTGTATGTACCTAGACCAGATGACAACCAAAAAAACAACACACTCACCCATCACCTGTATACCCGACATCCCAGATTCACTCATATCCTTCACTCTCCAGTTCCAATATACTCTAAGCTCCAATACTAGAAACTGAACACCAACAACTTACTTACCTTCAAACGTCCTCAGCACACAATCATATACCCCACCCTCCACTTTTACTACCTTTTGAGATACCAACATGCACAACACCTGGACACATATCTGCAACAGAAACACTGATTACCAGACATCCCCACCCATAAGGACACACACCAACACACTGCAACTCTGCATCTGATCCACATGCCTGTGCTAAGACATTAGCACACCCCAAACAGCCCCTCACATCTCTACCTCCAAATGCCCAGTCCTTGCACATTCAGGCCCAGCTGCTTGTACACACACACACACACACACACACACCCTCCACCCCACCTTCCTCTATTAGCCATTCAGTTCTCCACCGGCCCTCCTGGCACCTGCTGGTCCTAGGGCAGAGGTAGTGGGGAAAAGGCCCACCCAGCCCTGCCCATCCAGAATCCAGCCAGCCTCGACACCCCCTCTCCTCCCTGGGGGAAGGCATCCAGCGGCTGCAGGGTCCGGCCGCCCCTCCTAGACGCCCAGGGTTAAAGGCGGGACGTCCCCGCTGCCCTCCCCTCCAGTACCTGCAGATGCCCCGCCTCGGGGCTGGCTGCGAGGCCCAAGGTGGCTGGCGCTGAGCTCCCGCCAAGGTCCGCAGTCGCTGAGCGCCTGGCCCGCCCGCCTGTTCTCTCGCTGGGACTCGGCTTGGGCTCAGCTGGCTCCCTCCGCCCGCCTGCGGCTCTGATGTCAGTGGAGGAGGAGCCTGCGGCGGAGGGACCAGGGACTAAGAAGCGAGACTCGGCTCTGGGGCTGGGGAAGGGGCACGGGGGGCGGGCGTGGGGGGGGAGCCGAGGGGCTCCCTAATACAAGGCAGATCCTCTGCTGGACTCTGCCCGCCCTTCGTCCCCGGTAGGACCCCCATTTCACAGAGGGGTGGGTCAACGGAGGCCCAAAGAGATGCAGGGTTCAAAATCAGCAGGTGGTCAGAGGCGAAGCCGGGTTCAAACCCAGATCTGTCTAATGCCAGAGGCTGGCCAGTTTCACCCTGTCGCCTCATAGAGTTTCAGACCAGTCTGGGAGCTCCCGTAGGACTCTGTGGCTCCGTTTTCCCTCCCCTCTCTACCAACCCGCCCCTCCGCTGGTGCCCAGAAGGGAATTAGGCCCCTCACAAAGGCTCAGGAGACTGAGGGTGTGGGAATGGGGCAATAGGGAAAGATTAGGCAATGAAGAGAATCGAGACAGTGTTGGGTGGAACCCCAATTTATAAATGGAAAAAACAAAACACGAGGTCCCTCAGTGAGGCAGAGCTGATGCCCCAATTCCCTACACCTGGGTGTGGTGCCCAGAGGGACTGGGGCTAGGGAGGAAAGGGGGAGGAGAGAGAGTTAAATCGGGATCCAGAAGGAGGCTAGCCAAAGAGAACTAAAGTGCCACGTGACTGGGCAGGCGCCAGGGGCTGATGGTTGGAGGGGAGCGGGGCACGAAACCGCTCCTGGGCGGCAGGCAGGCGGCCAAGGGACCTGACCGAGGTCCTCTTGCGCAAGGCCTTCCTTGGGAAGAAATTTGGTGCGGAGGGAGGAAGGGGGAGCAACTCACAGGAAGCGGGGGTAGAGCTGGACTGTCACCAACCAGGGAAGGCACATTGCTTTGGATCCCCACTCACCTTAATCACGTGCCAGTGCCTCTCCCCCTTCCTGAATTTTCCTGCATTGTCCAGCTGGAGATGGGGAGAAGATAATGCTTACCCCAACTCAGTTTCAACTGGCTTTCCTTCTTTATTCTCAGGACTGTGTCAGAGGGTGGTCAATCTATTATGCCCAATGTACAGAGAAAGATAGCTAAGATTTCGAAAAAGTCTTTAGAGATTGACTAATCTGAGTCTCACTTTACCTCTCTGAGCCTCAGTTTCTTCATCTGGAATATGGGAATATTGATAACTGTTCAATTTTCCTGAGAATTCTAAGATAATGGATGTGAAGTGCCTGTAGGGATTCAAAATATGAGAGCTATATTTAACTGTAAACTGAAGCTCAGAGAAGGGACCTGCTTTGTCCAGGGACAAGAGGCTAAGGGGCAATTTCCCTCCCTCAAATCTCAGTATCTCTGACTGTCTAGTCCAGTGGTCGGCAAACTGCAGCCCCTTGAGTGTGGCTCTTCCACAAAATACCACATGCGGGCCTGCAAGTACAGTGCGATTGAAACTTCGTGGCCACACTCAAGGGGCCAAAGAGCCGCATGTGGCTCACGAGCCACAGTTTCCCGACCACTGGTCTAGTCCATGGAAAAATACACTTCATGCCCAGGACTGAGCTCCTCATCTCCCCTCCCTATGCCCACCCCAAATACACACTGAGCTAAGGTCGTCTCACCACAAATTCCTGTTTTCTCTTTAACATTCCCAAGGTGATAAGGTGGCCTCTAACCTTCTGAAGACTTGTATACTTATTATGCTCTATTATACATTTTGTCTACTTTTAACATGTCTCAGGGCACTTATGCTTTCCTTTTTCTAGCAAAGACATTCTGTCTTTTTAAAAAAAGATTTAAAAATTGACTTTAGAGAGAGAGCTAACAATGTGAGAAACATTGATTGGCTACCTCCCATACACACCCCAACTGGGGATCAAACCCCCAACCTGAGTATGTGCTCTGACTGGGAATTGAACCCACTGCCTTTTGGTGTACAGTACAATGCTTCAACCAACTGAGCCACACCGGCCAGGGCAGTCTTTTTTTCTTTTAAAAAATATTTATACTATACAAGTAATATATGATCATTCAAGAAAATTACATAAACTACTAAAAACATACACAAGACTATTTTTGCTACTGATCAGATTCCTTCACTTGCCAAGTTACATTCCCAACCTAAGCCAGTTTCATCAAAGAGGACCCTATGGCTCACAATAGCTGACAAGATGGAAGGAAAAACACCAGGCTTTAAGGTCTTAGAGTCTGGAACTGGAGACATGGTAGTCATAGAATTTGCTTTCTCTCATCTCTCCTTGTCTCGATGTCTCTTTGCACAGTTTTCCTTTCTTCTGCAGAGTGATCTCTACCTGGCAGGAAACATGGTGTAGGGCAGCCCCAGCTTTCCAACTGAACCCAGCAGAAGGAGAGCTGTATACTCAGGGGAGGACTCTCTGATGGGTTCTGCTGGAGTGACATGCCTACCTCTTGGCCCCAAAAACTTGCCAGTGAGTGAGATACTATATTGGGCAAATGTACTATCATGGCAGCCACACCAGAGTCACCAGGAATGAAGAGGGGTATCTTGCCCAAAGGAAATAGGGGTGCTGGGCAGGTGTGAATAACAAATTCATCCCAGCTCTGTTCACATCAATCAGAAATAACCAGTGTTAATATTTTGTGGTACATATTATTTCGTACGTTTAGGGATGCATATACACATACACATTACTTCCTACAGACCCCACCCTCACAACGAGCGTATTTTAAGATACTAAAACAAAAAGTGACTCAAGGCAGGGCAAATTTTGAAGAGAAAAAGGAAATAATCCTCTTCTCTCCTTTGTTGTTAAAAAGATGACAAAGAATTTATCTCCCTCAATTCTTGAACCTGACAGAAAATAAGCCATTGGAGGAGTGAACATGGGAGAAATCACAGGGAAAAGATGGACAGGTTTATAAAACATTAAAATATTCTTTTGCCCGGTTGGCGTGGCTCAGTGGTTAAGCATTGACCTATGAACCAAGAGGTCATGGTTCGAATCCCAGTCAGGGCACAGGCCCTGGTTGCAGAGTGTGTAGGAGGCAGCCGATTAATGATATTCTCTCTCTCTCTCTCTCTCTCTCTCTCTCTCTCTCTCTCTCTCTCTCTCCCTTCATCTCTGAAATCAATACAAATGTATATGTTTTTTTAAAAAGATAAAACATTTTTTTAATTTCTGTTGCTGGAAACAAACCAAAAAACCCAGACCCTACTCCCAAATCATAGCCAACAGTAAAAGGCAAATTTTAGACTGGGAAATGTTTTATAGACAATGGGTTAATATTTCTGTTAAGTAAAGAACACATAAAATTGGTAACAAACAGATCAAGAACCCAATAAATAGTCAAAAGAAACAGATGAAACAATAAACAAGGAACAATTTCTACCTCACAAGTAATTAAAGTACAAACTAAAAGAGCTCATAGCCTTTCAAACTTGAAGTTTAAAAAACTGGTAACACTAAAGCCTGGTTTTATTGTGAGCAATGGATACTTCTACATTTCTAATGGGAAAATGAACTGTTAAAAATATTTTATAAAGCAAATTTAATGGGGGGGGGGCTGGTTGGGGAGGGTGGAGGAATTGAGAAAACCCACAGAGGGTGGAGGAATTGAGAAAAAACTTATGGACACAGACAACAGTGTGGTGATTGCAGAGGGGGAGGAAGAAGGTGGAAGAGGGTATCTGGGGATAAATGATGATGGATGGAGACTTGACTTGGCGGGGGGTGGGGTGAACACACAATATAGTGTACAGATGGTGTGTTGTAGAATTGTGCATCTGAAACCTGTGTAATTGTGTTAACCAGTATCACCTCAATAAATTAAATAAAAAGGAACAAAAAAGCAATTTGGCAATATGCATCAAAGGCTTAAATAATGTCCAGGCCTTTTTGAGCCAGGAATTCCTCTCTGGGAATCAATTTCAAGAAAACAGTTCTGAATTAGAACAAAGCTATCTGCTTCAAGATGTTTAAAGAAATATTTTTGGGGTGTGTACCAATTTGGTGTTCAATTATTTAAATTATATTTAAACAACAACAACAAAGAAATGGAATGGATTTGAATGTCATCTCACATCTTTTTTCTCCTTCTATTGAAACAGTGATGGCGCATTAAAAGACATTTGAAGTCAAACAGACCTGGTTTCGAACTCCACTTCCACCCCATACCTGCTGTGGGATCTTGGGTAAATCATTTCACTGTTCTGAGCCTATTTCTTCACCTATAACATGGCATAATCATACTGATAAACATATCTACTTTGTAGCACTATTTTGAAAATTAGACAACTTGGAAAGTGCCTTTCACCTAGTAGGCTAGTTCCTTTGCTGTCACTTGTGTTCCCAGGACATTCCTGGTGCAAAGTAGATGCTCAGTAAGAAATGGGTCAGAGGAATTCTCTTCTCCTTTTCTAAACATCAGCTATCTCAGGATAACTGTTTGTAATATTATTTCTTCTTCCATTCTTGAAGCCCCCCATGTTGTAGACAAGCTCCAAATTTGGAGTTTTCCTTCTGCCTTCAAGGTGTCCACTCCTACTTCTTACCCTGTCAGGAGCAGCCCATTTTGAGAGACTCAGAGATCCTTCCAATATTTACCAGATCTCCCTGATCTCTCTTGGCTAATACAGGCATATTTTAGAGCAATGATTCTTGTGTTTTTCTCTGATTCTCAACCCATAGTACAGTGGAACCTCGTTTCTCAAACTTAATTCATTCCGGAAGGCTGTTCGAAAACCGAATTGTTTTTTCCCATTAGAAATAATGTAATTGGGATCTCCTCCCCCTCTCTTTCCCCTCTCCTCCTCCTCCACCTCTCTTCCCCCTCTACTCCCCCTCTCCTCCCTCTCTCTTCCCCCTAAAAAAAAAAAAAAGAAATAATGTAAATTGGATTACTCCATTCCAGACCCCCAAATGATTCCATGTTTTAAACTTTCTTATATACAGTACATGTATATTGTACTGTCTAATCTATAAACACGTTAAAAACAAAAAGGACATGAAATGTAAATGAAAATTTAACAAAAAGGAGAGGAAATGTACAGTAAAAAATGAAAAATTTTTTTTTCTTCTTTGGATTTTTATTGATTGATTGATTTATTACTTAAACAATGGACATTTATTACCTCACAGTTCTGTGGGTTATAAATTTGGAAACAGCTCAGGGGGGTTCATACAATGGTCAGTAGGGGCTGCAATCAACTCAAAGCTTGAATGTGGATAGAAGTTTCACTTCCAAAATCGCTCATGCACATGACTGTTGGCATAGAGTCTCAGTTCCTATCTGGCTGTTGGCCGGAAACTTTAGTTCGTTGCCCTACGGGCTTCCTCTTAGACCGCTTGAATGTTCTCAGGTCATGGCAGCTACCTTTCCCCAGAGTAAGCAAACCAAGGGAGAGTGGGCAAAGAGAAAGCTGCAGTGCCTTGTACAATCTAGTCTCCAAAGTTAACACTGGTTTTAAGTAACCCTAATTGAATGGAAAGCTTTAATTAAGAACAGAAATCAGTGCGTTCTTTACTATCATGAAATCAACATTTTGTGAATCTTTCCAAATTGCATTGGATGCTTTATTCCCAACTATTTGTTCTCTTATACATTATTCAATTACACAGAGCTAGACACACCAACTTCCTATTTTGGATGTAATCCTGTTGTTGTCCTCAATTATCTTGAAAATAAATCCATTTCACCAATTCATTTGAATTAATGCAGAGAGCCAATGCTGGTCACAATTTTTGAAAAATAGTGAGGCCTAATGATTGGTTACCTATTCCCTGAAATAAAGAATGAGGTCTTCTAGAATGCGGAAAATACAATTCAGTGTACACGAGGTTGATTTATGCTTTTTCAAGAATTCCTCTATTGCTTAAAGCCAAGTGCACAGGCAGTAATAGAATTATTTAAGAATGATCCTTTTACTTGATCCGTTTGCTTTAGTCAAGCTTTCCTACCAATAAAAAATGACCAATGACCCAGACACTTTGGTTTTCTCCCACCCGAACCATAAATGAAACAAATGACCGGCCCCAGTGTATGTCTTGGGGTATGGGAGGTGAATGGTACCCTAGAGGTTTTATTCCTCCTAAAATCGCTGCTAAAAGATGTAGAGGAGAAATGATCATATTTCTTAATCAATCATTCTGTAAGTTTGGGGCATGCACCTGGGTGCTGTGAGCATATCCGTGTATTAATTTCATATCCTGTGTTGTTAATGTTATTAATCCAATTATTTGAAAAGTTCTTTGCAGAAATAGAATGTGATTTATTGATAAGAATGTGTAGTACTCTGAATGCTATATCATATCATATCAGGTGCTCAGCAGGTGAAAACTACCCATCTAGAGACAAGAAAGTTCTGTGAGGGATTTTGGTGTCCCTGCACATCAATCAAGTCATAAAGCTCTGTCACTCTTTCCAGCAGTGACATAACTTATTAGCAGCCAGTGTCCCTCAGATACATGAGTCCTGCCCTTTTCAGAGGTGTAAACTATTTCCATTTTGAAATATACAACCAGAATACAGATAATTAGAACTGAGCAGTGAATCTACCAGTACACACTGCTTTGGAGCATTCATGAAACATTTCTTCTTAAAAAGCAAAGACTGGTGACCATCATCCCTGTTGTTACTTTTCCTGTGAGAGTATTTGATTTAGAGCAATATTTTCACACCTCTTTTTGCCGGGGTCCAACCCCAGCAGGTCCAGGGGTTCCCAAAGGCGTAGACGGAGTCGGCGAAGAAGGAAGGACACGGAGACAGTGTTCAGTTGATCAGCAGCCTAGCCAGGATCTCCAGCCAGGATCTCCAGCCAAGTTCTGGTCTGGATCTCCAGAGAGGTTCTGCTCAAAAAATGAAAATTTAACGATAACTATAAGCAGCAACAAAAGGAGAAAAACATTAAAATGTTCATAGCACAATATCCTGAGATTTTAACAGTAGTAAGCTGACTCATATTTGTGCATTCTCTCATTTGTTTGTCACCTGAGAGAAATGTGATTGATCATGCAAGTATCAGCATAAAAAGGTTTTCAGGCTGAAAAGCGAATTGTTCAGAAATGAGGTTCCACTGTACCTTTAATTTTGTATGTGGTAGTGCTGGCAGGCCCAGAGAGGGATGGTAAGAATAGGGCTTCTAGAGTCTAAGACTTGGCTTACAAAACTGGTTCACCACCAGTTATCTGATCTGTCCCTTCCCCTTCCTGTATCCTAGTTTCCTCATCTGTAAAATAAGGGTAATAGTATTACCTGTTCTTACATAGGGTTGTTGAGAGGACCAAATGAGAGAATTCACAGAAAGGGCTTAGAACCATCCTAGCTTGGTCCCTTGCAGAATCATTCTCCCAGAGTTGTGTTTTAACAACATGCTGTGAGTTTTCATCAAAGGTTGTGAGAAGAAGTCACACATGAAACTCAATTTCTATTTGCTGTCAGATTTATGGAAAATATTATCAATATATGACTTCAGTTGAGAAATTTCTCCAGCACAAGAAATTATTGGAATTTTTGCCAGGAAAACTGGGAGATGCCCTTTCCTTTGATATCAAACATTCTGAGGCTGATTCATCCTATTTCCATTTTGGCTTGGTTTCCAGGAAGCTTAGAGCTAAATCTGATGTTTAGTAATCCCAATGGGCTTAACTTCATATTGGTATTTTATGAAATTTATTGTACACATTCTTAATTTTAAGCTTTCTCAACTTCCTTTGAGAGAGGGAGAGAGAGAGAAAGAAAAGAAGAAAAAAGAAAGGGAAAGAAAACGGAAGGGAAGGAAGTAGGTATAGTTTGAAAAGTGTGCTTGGCATTGCCACATGCTCACTGTATCAGATAGAATATAGGTTTGGTTTCCCTAACAGACACCCAAAATAACTGTGGCTTAAATAAAATGAAAGTGGATAACAATCAGGCCATAAGCAGTTCCAGGCTGGGATGATGACTACAAGATAAGAGGGATCCTGGCTTCTTATCTTTCTTAAAAATATATTTTTATTGATTTTGGAGAGGAAGGGAGTGAGAGAGAAAGAACATCAATGATGAGAGAATCATTGATCAGTTGCCTCCTATGTGCCCCATACTGGGGATTGAGCTACAACTTGGGCATGTGCCCTGGGAATTGAACTGTGACCTCCTGGTTCATAGGTCAATGCTCAACCACTGAGCCATGCCAGCCAGGCATTGCTTCTTGTTGCTTCACTGTTTCTAGGGTTTTGTCTTTGACCACATATTTCAAGATGGCTTCCCACCATGTTTCATGCCAGCCAGGGGCAAGTGGGATGTGGAGGGCACACCTGGGGCACATAATCTCATAGTTACACACATCTCTTTTTCTTACATCCTATTGGTCAGAACTTAGTCACATGATCACACCCAAGTGCAAGGGAAGCTAGGATATTTAGTTTTTCAGAGGCATATGTCCAACTAAAAATCAGATTTTGAAGAACATCTACCAGTTTCTGCTACATCCGCTGTCTCAGATGTATTTCTTTGCACATAATTATACTCCTGTCTGCCCCAATTTCACTTTTAATCCCTCTAGTCCAGGGGTGGGCAAACTTTTTGACTTGAGGGCCACAATGGGTTCTTAAACTGGACCGGAGGGCCGGAACAAAAGCATGGATGGAGTGTTTGTGTGAACTAATATAAATTCAAAGTAAACATCATTACATAAAAGGGTACAGTCTTTTTTTTTTTTTAGTTTTATTCATTTCAAATGGGCCGGATCCGGCCCGCAGGCCGTAGTTTGCCCACGGCCGCTCTAGTCAGTCCAGCCTCCATACTGCTACCAGAAGTGCTTTCAGATTGAGAGTGCTATTATGGCATTCCCCTGCTCACAAACCTCCCCTGGCTCCCTACTACCCAGAAAAGTGATTCTCAAACATTAATATGCATCAGGAATCACCTGGAGGACATATGAAAGCAGAGAGGACTGGCATAAGAAAATACGAAATACTGCCATTTGCAATAACATGGATGGACCCTGAGAATATTACTCTAAGTGAAATAAGTCAGGCAGAAAAAGCTAAGAATCATATGATTTCATGCATATGTGGGATATAAAACTGAAACTGGTGGATACAAACAGCAGTGTGGTGGTTGCCAGAGAGAAGCAGGTGGGAGGGTGGGGGGTAAAGGGGACCTAATATATGGTGACAGAAGATGATATGACTTTGAGTGGTGGGCACAAAGTGC